GCTAGCGCCGCAGGCTTAAAGAAGGAGGTAGCCGCTCAAGCCAGCGCCGCAGGCTTTAGAACGAAGCTGGCCAGACAAGCTAGCGCCGCAGGCTAAAGAAGGAAGTAACCGCTCAAGCTAGCGCCGCAGGCTTTATGACGAAGCTAGCCGCGCAAGCCAGCGCCGCAGGCTTTAGAACGAAGCTGGCCGTACAAGCTAGCGCCGCAGGCTTTGAAACGAAGCTAGCCGCTCAAGCTAGCGCCGCAGGCTTAAAGAAGGCGGTTACCGCTCAAGCTAGCGCCGCAGGCTTTATAACGAAGCTAGCCGAACAAGCCAGCGCCGCAGGCTTTAGAACGAAGCTAGCCGCACAAGCTAACGCCGCAGGCTTAAAGAACGAGGTAACCGCTCAAGCTTGGGCCGCAGGATGAGGTAGCGACCTAGCCGATCAAACATACGCCGCAGGCTTAATAACGAGACTAGCAGTTCAAGCTTGCGTGAGCTGCATGAGAGATGCGTTTTTCTTTCGTGGAAACTTTCTGTGGAAGGGCGCCCAATTGATGGTGCCTTGACGGGGTCCAGCGGGGGAGAGTCGCGGAGCGGCTCCTCCCCCGCTGGTTTTAAATATATTTACAACATCAACGTCTTAAAACATTTGAAAATCAGTTTGGAATCAAATAAACAATTTTTATGCTTCAAAATGAGTTTTTAATGAAATCAAATTAAATTTACGAATTCAGGAAAATTTCCAGGTTTGCTATTTTTTAATTTGGTACAAAATACAGCATTTTGGGGCAAAAACCGTAAAAAAATTTCAGCCAAAAAGAACGCATTAATTCGAAAATTAGCGAAGAAACATAACTTGGAAAATCAGGAAAACCTGGAAAGTCGAGGTATTGGCAGTTATATTTTTTAATGCCGAAATTACGGTTAGAGCGGCGAAACTGAGATAATTTTGCCATGAAACCCTAAATACAAAATTACGATATATTACGATAGATAAAATACGACAATACGTAAAAAATCGATACCGCCACGCTCCCCTAAACAATCACAATCTTGGGCATGGCCTCGCCCACAAGTGGCATTCTGAATATGGCAAGCGCCTCCCAGAAAAAGAAGGCAAATGGTCCGAGACGAAGAAAGGAAGGAAAGAAGGAAAGAAAGCGCTGCCGAGAGGTGGCCGACTGTTATCACGGAGAAAAAGGCGCGCGGCGCGGGACCGGAAACGGAAGGGGGAATGGAACGGAAAGAGGCGAGAGAGGAGGGCAGAAGAGGACGGTGTGAATAGGCATCCGAAGACCGAGAAAAGGCCTCCAGCACCCATCCATACAAAACCCCACACTCGCCACAAACGATTCCATGCTTGGAATTCTTAGCATGGCTTATTTGGCGTTATAGTGACTTTTTAAAGGGATTGGCAAGCAATAAAATCGACCCCTTCAGTGACTGGCGGTATCGACAACCACGAAAGGAACTTGTCCGTATTAGGGTTTTTTTGAAATGTTGTCTGCCTGCATGCCTTACATTCTCACGATGATCAGTTTCAAATAGAGATGTTATTATTTAAATCAAATCCGACTCAAATCCGATTTGATTTGAATAAGCAGATTTGAGATTTGATTCCGCCGAAATCAAATCTGGATTTGATTTGAAACTGGCTGGACTTTCAAATCAAATCTGGATTTGATTTGAGAAACTTTCAAATCCTCAGATTTGATTTGAATAATAACATCTCTAGTTTCAAACCTAAAGGCGATAGACAACATTTTCACGTTGTTTCCGCCAATTTTCCCAGTATGATCTGCCTATTATGATATGCAACACCAAGCAGCAAAACCGACGGGTAAATAGTAAATACAGGGTGTCCCATAAAAAAGCACCCCTCCGGCATTTCGCCGTATTACATTCCAACAGTCCCAAAATCGGACTGGAGGTGCATCAGACCCTAAATAACCACAATCCTGACTTATAGCCCGATCGCTACAGTAGTTTTCGAGTTATCGTCAAAATACTGTTTTTTACGCGGTTCTTAACAGTTTTTTCGGCTATCTTTTTGGACTTTGCATCGATTTGCATCGACTTCCGGCGGCGAATCCCTAATTTCGCTTAATATCGGGGGTGACCTTGCGTTACAAAAATTGTTGAAACCAACGGTTATTTCACTAATTCTTATCAGAAAAAATCTCTAGGGGCAAAGCAGGCTTTCCGCTTCATTTTCACTTAATATTTGAAGGGTCGATTTCGACGAAAACCATATGAAAAACGGATAATAAAGTTTATTTTTGTTTTATCTCGAAGATTGCTGTAGCTGGCGGGCTATAAGTCCGGATTGTGGTTATTTGGGGTCTGATACACCTCTGGTCCAAATTTCGGACCGATCGGATGAAATACGGCGAAATGCCGGAGGGGTGCTTTTTTATGGGACACCCTGTAGATATCACCAATGAAGACCCCCAAACCCGCGTGCCTTAGCAATATAGGGCGATGTTATCATGAAGAAGAACAGAGCTAACTAGGGAAGTGCACAGGCCCGTAGCGGAACCGAAATTTCGGGGGCCAAAAATTTTGGCGACCTCCCCCCTGCAGGCAAAAAATAGCAAAAAAACGTTCGCTACACTCAAATTCGTGTGTGACAACACAGCAAAAAACGCGCCGCAGGCGAAGTTTTTTTGAATAATTGATTCACCAATGGAAAACCAGCGCCGCAGGCAAAAAATTTTTGTAACTAAAAATCATAAGGGTCCCCCCTTATGAATTTTTCGGACCTTGACCGATTTCGGGGGCCCAGGGCCCCTGGGCCCCTCCTACGGGCCTGGAAGTGCACGACCTGGCCGTCGAATTTTGACACGGGAGAAAGTGGATTCAATAGAATTTTTTGCTGAATTATTTGAAAATCATACATCTGATAGCTCATTTGAAAGCCCTTTTTCTGCTGAACAAGATGCCCTGACCCTTTTTTGCTCAAAATACTTTTTTGATTCCATTCGCCAAGTGGGGGAAGGGGATGTAACACAGGGCCCGAAGACTTTGGGCAAAACCCGGTGGGCGCTGGTCCCAAAAACGGGTCTGGGCGCTGGTCTAAGGGCTAGTAATCTCGCATTTTTTTCGGCGCCTTCGGCGCCATTGATTACCCCTGGTTAAGGAAGGCCCCTACGTTATGTATTTTGGATGCGTTCTCTGTGTTGTGAAATAAATATTTTTAATAAATTTTGTGTTGCATGCTACATATACCGCGAAGCACTCTAATTAAGCTGAAGAGGATGATCGCGAAAACCGAGCACAGAAAGCCCATGGACGACAATTCCCTAAAATTGATTCTTGCTAAACTTCCTATTTATTCCTACAGACTACAGACCTATATATTCTTTTCACGTCAACGTCAGCTTCTGATTCATTCCAAATTTTATTTGACGGTTCCGACCAACGATGATGACGCTGCTGCCGATGACGTCGCACTACAATTCTGGAATAACGACGGCGGAATACTAAAAATATCGCCACATCCCGCCTAAACTTCTCAATTCTGCACCTGGAATTATTTTAATCTACCGGCTCAATTGAAAAAGCTACAAAAATTCAGAAATCGTTTGCTACTACTGCTACTAAACCCCAGAAAATATTTGGAGCCGTTTGGAGTATCGTTTCGAAATTCCTAATCCCAGAACTTAACGTAAATCAGTTAAATCCCGTACTCGGCGCTCCACTGGACGATCGGCTCTAAAATCGTCCTGCATAATGTACATGGTACCGTACATACTCTGTAAAAAAATCTAAGCGATCCGATATCTCATAACCTCGGATCCGACATCCGACAAAGCACACTCTGTAGTATACGCAGGACAAATTTGGTCCTAATCGGTTGAGGTTAAGGGGGTCAACGGGGACCAAAACATGTCCGATGCCCAAAGTCAATGATTTTTAAGGTAAACAGTCGCTGGTCCCGGAGGGTACCTTAAACGAATCGGATCGCTTAGATTTTTTTACAGAGTATGTACGGTACCATGTACATTATGCAGGACGATTTTAGAGCCGATCGTCCAGTGGAGCGCCGAGTACGGGATTTAACTGATTTACGTTAAGTTCTGGGATTAGGAATTTCGAAACGATACTCCAAACGGCTCCAAATATTTTCTGGGGGTTTAGTAGCAGTAGTAGCAAACGATTTCTGAATTTTTGTAGCTTTTTCAGTTGAGCCGGTAGATGAAAATAATTCCAGGTGCAGAATTGAGAAGTTTAGGCGGGATGTGGCGATATTTTTAGTATTCCGCCGTCGTTATTCCAGAATTGTAGTGCGACGTCATCGGCAGCAGCGTCATCATCGTTGGTCGGAACCGTCAAATAAAATTTGGAATGAATCAGAAGCTGACGTTGACGTGAAAAGAATATATAGGTCTGTAGTCTGTAGGAATAAATAGGAAGTTTAGCAAGAATCAATTTTAGGGAATTGTCGTCCATGGGCTTTCTCTGCTCGGTTTTCGCGATCATCCTCTTCAGCTTAATTAGAGCGTTTCGCGGTATAACATGCAACACAAAATTTATTAAAATAATTTTTTTCACAACACAGACGATCAATGTTATCGGAAGGACAGAAAAAGTGCGGGTTTACTTGCCATAATGATACATTTTCCTCATTTTTCTCCGAATTCTGATCGCTTTTTCAAAAAAATCTGCGCCGCTGCCGCGGCGCTGGTCTAACCCCCAGTCAGCCGCCGCCTGGCGGCGGTCCATTCGGGCACTTTTCACACTTTTTCGGGCCCTGGCCCTGATGTAACACATGCAGCGGCGAGAGAGGGCGCCCAGAGGAGAGGGGCCGAGACATGACGCGCCTGCCTGCTTTTCCAGCGTTCCCATGGGGCTGGAGATATGACCTTTCCCTTACGTTGTGTTATCATGATGAAGAACAAAGCTAAAAGACGCTTATCACCCGTGAAGAACCAGTATATAACGGGCCCTCGAACCGGAAATTGGCGCCTGCCCCACCCGAACCGCCATATACTGTTCGTCCAAATTCTGAGCGTCAGATGCCGGGCCTCAAACTAAACCTGGAACGGTAATTCCATTAAAACCTTGCAAGATTCTGGTAATTGTTCGTTATCTTATTGCTCGAACAGGGAATTTTGGAGCTTTTTTTGGGCGAAGCCGTTCTAACAAAGAGACGTTTTTTAGTGTCCACGGAGTTTCTAAATGAACCTTGTTTCTGCAGAATTTTGCGCTGATTCAAATAACGGGGGGGGGGGGGGGGGGGGAATAACGGGGGCACTCAAACTTTTTTTTATGATAAAAGTATTTTTAAATATGCTTTTTTCGGGCTGTAAAAAAAACTCTTAGTATATTTTTCGGCCCTCTATCGAATGGCATTTTCAAAATATCGAAAATATTCAAAACGCCGAAAATTCCCCCCCCCCTCGTTATCCTATGTGCTGCCCATAGTTTTCAAAAATAGTTTTTAGGCTATAAAACTTTTATAATACATTTTTTCGCGTTGTAAAAAATCTCTTAGCATAATTTTTGATGTTCTATCGGTTCGCGTTTTCAAAATATGAAAATCTCAAAAATTTGGCTCCCCCCCCCCCCCGTTATCCTATGTGCTGCCCATGGATTTTGATCAATTCTTGTTTATTCGATAAAAAATTTCATTTACATTATTTCGGGCTGAAATTAATTCTCCTAGAGCAGTTTTCGACGCTTTATCGAATGACGTTTTCAAAATATCGAAAATTTCGAAAAGATCGAAAGATCCGGTTAGCACGAAGGCGAGATTGATTTACGCAGATTTAGGGACGCAGCCTTCGATTTGCCTGAAGCGCCCGAAGACGCAGTTTGGCTGCATGCAGCTGAGCGCCAGCCCGAAAACCGACTTCCGGCTGCCAACTTAAATCACGGGTAAGGCCGTGTCCTGGGCCTGCCTAATGTGTTCAAATTCCAATTTTCGCAAAGAGCTTTTTGCAATTTGCAATTTTTTGGGCGGCATCTGCGATAAGGAGATTGGGCGGGTGGGACGTATCAAAATAAGTGCTTAGGTCTCACGAATAATTTTCAGAATGCTTTACGCGGTTCTGCGCCGCGGAAGCATGGACAATTATGCGAATGTGACGCTGCCCGATTATCTGGTTTTTGACGAGTCACAAAGTGATCACGCTCGGTAGGTCTGAAGTCGCTCTATCTATCGATCTCGAGCGGGTGAAACAAAAACAAGAACCCGGATCTCAATTATAGATTCAACGACGCCACCAGGGAAAATTTTACGTTGGGAAACATCACGTTACCCGCCTGGGCGAAGTTTGAGGATGGAGAGCGATGACAAGGATCGATCCCTTTTTTTTTCTTTTTTTTCGAATTCAGAGCCAGAAACAGACAGAACATAACAAAGATTAATAAATTGCATCAAGCGCATCATTGCATTTGACAGCAAAAATAGGCAGGATGACCAGTGTCGAGGCCAACGACCGGCCGGTGAGTGATAAGGGCGAGCCGACCGGGGACACACCAAAGCAACCTTTCTTACAACCGCAGCAAACTTTGAATTGGGCTGGGAAGTGCGATGGATCAAAAACTGGAGGGGATAATACCTGAACACTAAAAACCTGACACTAAATTTCGATAATTAACTTCCTAAATTTATCACAATAGCCTGAAGATTGCAGAACGAGCGTCAGAATTACAAAATTATACGCCTTCACATCCAACCGCGCGAGGTTAAACCTACATTATCAGCCACTTTAAGGAAACTCGCTCCAAGATATTCATTGCCCCGCCTCGACCCCACCCATTGACTGTCCAAAGTACCAGCGTGTAGCTGAAGAGCCCTTCTTCAGATGCGAAAGAAGGGTGAGGGGGAAGAAGCTTCTAGTCAAGACAAGACCGGTAGCCTTAAAAGGGCCAAGAAGAGGTGGAGGAAGATAAAATCGTTCCCGTAAGGGGTTCGGCGTACTTGAGAGGAGGAGGGGAGGGAGAGAGACTGTCAACGCCCGGATCGAGGGTAATTTCGGCACAAATAGGGAGGCAAACAGACTGAGGGGAAGTGGGTAGGAGATGCACCGTTTAGCCGCAGGCTACACTACAGGTTAAAGGGACCGGGAAGCAAACGTAAAGGAACAGCACAAATTTGAAGATTTTTGCTAGCTTTCTCTCGTTCAGTCTCTCTCTCTCTCTCTCTCTCTCTCTCTTTCTCTAGCTCTCTGTAAATCGGAAATCTGCAATAATAGTAAGTTTCAAAAAAATCAAGAACGCTCAGGTTCGAAGCGCTCGGGCTCAAAAACTGTCAGAGAGGCCTGCAGGGGTGGTGGATCTCTTTTATTGGGGGTTGTCTGTCAATCTCTCTCTCTCTCTCTCTCTCTCTCTCTCTCTCGCTCACTCGCTAGCTCTCTCTCCTGGGTGTGGACATGGTGTTCTTTGTCGTGTTCTTTCGGGCGGTATGTGCATGTGGACAGTCGAAATGGGGTCGGCCGAGATAAGCCCGGGATAGACGGAGAGAGTGAGAGAGAGAGAGAGAGAGAGAGAGAGAGAGAGAGAAAGAGATAGATACAGACAGAAGATGCACGATGAATGGGGGGGAACGGAGGAGCATTACCTGGGTGGGACAAGAAAAAAAGGGCGGGTGGAAGATTAGACCAATGAGGGGGAAGCCCGCGCGAAAATGGATTGACGAGACTAGAGCCTTTTTGAAAAACGGTTTGGTGTTAAAACCCGGGTTCAGGATTGTTGCCCTGTATTGTGGTGGACAGTTCCAGACTCCCTGTGCGAGTATGGAATCCAGCCGTTTGGCAAAAATCCAAGCCATGTGTCAAGCAAAATCCCGTACCTAGCGATGAAATGAATACCTATTCCCCGAGAAACACGACCAATCAAGACCGCCTCCCCTCATTCGCCCTCATATTTACTCAAGAAATAAAGCCGCGAGAGAGGGAGAGAGAGAGAGAGAGAGAGAGAGAGAGAGAGAGAGAGAGTGAGAGAGACGAGAGCTTTGCCCTTGCTACCGGGTCAAACAGCTTCATTCCACTCCGATCTACCGTTGCCGGGCCGGGACGGGCTTCTCGGGTTTCCGCCTCGACAACCTCAGCCGAAAGACGAAAAGCTGCCAGCGCGATCCGGGTGCATCTGGATTTTTTTCCACCACCGGATTCTGATGACAGACGACCCGGTGGTTAGACCTTGGGTTGCGTGCGCAAACGGGTGTCAATAGGAACATGGCGGAACACTTGGAAAATCGGGGAACTGGTGTATTATTGGGTGTACGCCCAGCTTTAGTAGGCAAAAAAATGAAGCAGATTTCCAGGAAAATCCGATCCGGAACCGGACGCAGTGGAAAAAATCGAAGGGTGCTAGCAGGAATTCTTAGGGAAAGTCAGCGGATTTTTGCATTTTGAGGATAGAAGATGATGGCAGTGAGCGAGGGAGAGAGAGAGAGAGAGGGAGAGAGAGAGAGGGAGAGAGGGAGAGGGAGAGAGAGAGAAAAGCAAGAAACATTTTGGTCTTGTCTTTCCTTAAGAGTTTTCGACAGTTTACCTTTTCTAAAGAATCTCTGCCAGCCTGCCGTTCCCCCAAGAATCTCTGCTAGTCTGCCCTTGCCAAAGGAAGTCCTTCTAGGCTGCCCTTTCCTACAAAATCGCTGTTAGTCTGTCCGTCATCAAAAAATCACTGCTAGCCTGCCCTTCCTTAAAGATCTCCGCTAGTTACCTTCACTAAGAAATGTCTGTAAGTTTGCCACTGTCTAAAGGGTCTCTGCTGATTTGTTCATTTTGTGCATCCATTTTGTGATTTGAACCGAAGGAATGGGATTACATGGAAGGAGTTTGTAAGCAACGATTATACCGGAAAATCAACAACGAAAACCATTAACTTTCCCTAGCACCTCCCAGCCGTTCGTTGTGCCCGGGGGCTATGGCGCGAATGAGGTGTGAAGTTAAACATTGCATAAATATGGCCGAGGAGGGAAAGGGGAGACAATGATTGGTGAAGAAGGGCAGATGGGGGGGGGGGGACAAGGGAAGGGTTGTGGGTTCGACCCCCCGCTGCGTCTGTATCCACATTCCAAAGCTGAAATCCCCTTCACAATCCTTCCAACCTGCCACCGAGGACACACGAAAGTGTTTAAGGCAAAAAACTGAGGATTTTACGGCCAGGGGCGTCGGAAAAGATAAGTATTAGTCTTAAAACAGCAGTACAAACTGGAATTCTCTCCAGATTTTATGGAATTCCGGACGTTTCCCCGAAAACGATTTCCCCGAAAACCAGTTCCCCGAAAGCCAGTTCCCCGAAAAACCAGTTCCCCGAAAACCAGTTCCCCGAAAACCAGTTCCCCGAAAACCAGTTCCCCGAAGCCAGTTCCCCGAAAACCAGTTCCCCGAAAACCAGTTCCCCGAAAACCAGTTCCCCGAAAACCAGTTCCCCGAAAACCAGTTCCCCGAAAACCAGTTCCCCGAAAACCAGTTCCCCGAAAACCAGTTCCCCGAAAACCAGTTCCCCGAAAACCAGTTCCCCGAAAACCAGTTCCCCGAAAACCAGTTCCCCGAAAACCGGGGTAAAATGCTGATTTGCCTCATTTGGCAAAAAACCGATTCCCGCCACCGTTGGGAAACCGATGTGCAACAAGGACTATGCGATCGATACGGGGAATTCACACCGACGGAGTTCTGCGAATTAATTGCCAAGAGTCTGGACTAATCTTAATCGTGGAACCCGAGATTAATCTTATGTCTGTATTGTGATATACGCGCCGTGCCTCATGCTGATTCGAATAAACCAGTTACATATGACGTTGGATCCAAGTAACTTTTTCTGACCTTTCCATGTCTGATTTTCCGACAAAGATTTCGATGCCGGCTTTGATTTGAACCGATCTTCGGGGAACTGGTTTTCGGGGAACTGGTTTTCGGGGAACTGGTTTTCGGGGAACTGGTTTTCGGGGAACTGGTTTTCGGGGAACTGGTTTTCGGGGAACTGGTTTTCGGGGAACTGGTTTTCGGGGAACTGGTTTTCGGGGAACTGGTTTTCGGGGAACTGGTTTTCGGGGAACTGGTTTTCGGGGAACTGACTTTCGGGGAACTGGTTTTCGGGGAACTGGTTTTCGGGGAACTGGTTTTCGGGGAACTGGTTTTCGGGGAACTGACTTTCGGGGAACTGGTTTTTCGGGGAACTGGCTTTCGGGGAACTGGTTTTCGGGGAAATCGTTTTCGGGGAAACGTCAAATACCCTTAAAACAGCAGTACAAACTGGAATTCTCTCCAGATTTTATGGGGTAGTTTGTAATTTCTAAGGGAAAGCAGGCAAGCCAGCGGGGACCATGAAGTATTTTAAATTTTTAGAGAACCTTTTCGAATTATAATTTACAAGGTAAGAAAACGCGTTGCCAGGCCGACCGTGAAAATGATGTTTGGCAATTTCGCATGGCTCTAACGACGCTTCAGGAGGCCGTCAGACGCCCCTTCTTGGACACAATCACTCCATTCATCTCACTACGCGACTAGCGCTGAACGGGAAGCGGAAAGCAGGTAATTTGGTCCTTTCCGGAAGCCATTTCCGGGTCTAGAGCGGTCTTTAGGCCCTGGGGTTTTTATGAATAGACTAGAGGGATCAAAAATCATTGGAAAACTATCGATCGTGATTGGTAATTTTGGTAAATTACGGTAGCAGGTTGCATGTCTCGAAAGGCGTTCGGCGACGCTACCAACGAGGTCAACGAGTGGGCTTTTTCATGCAGCCCTTCCGCCTGGGTAGCGGATCATTTCTAGCTCTTTTTTTCACTTCTTCGTCTTTGCTTTTTCGGCTAAGCTGTCAACCCCAAGCGTGGTGGGTATTCAGGAAGGCCCCGTCGTTAGGGGGTGGGTACCCCCCGATGGTGTGACGAGTCTAGCGAGAAGCCTCAACAAACAGATCAGCCACACACGTGAAAAACCATGCGAAGGGGGGGTGAAGAAGCCGATGAAGTCAACGGGGTGACCATTGACCGCAAATGGGCAGATTTTTGGCGGGGAATGAAGAAATTGACGTCGTTGAAGGGGTTGTCAAGTAAGAAGAAAAACCTAATAAGGTTCTCGGTTACTTTTTGCTGTAACTATGTCGCTTAACAAAGTATCATCTCCAAAATGCTATGGATTAAAGTGATCAAGCAAGGTAAATGTTGTCGTTAAAATCGTCAAAATCGCAGAATTACTCCAAAAACGCTTTCACGCGTCATTTGGCGCGTCGTGTAGCTCGGTCTGTACCCTGCGTTCGAGATGGATAGATTTCTGATTCCAAGCTTAACGTAATTACCAGTAGTGTAAGCGGAAAAATCCAGAAACCAGCGATAAACGTTGCCATTTGTGTCATAGCATTTTTAATAGAAAAATATGAAAATCAAGATTCCAAGCAACTTTTTAAGGCGATTTTTCAAAGAACTGACAACACTAAATTTCAACACAAGAAATAATTGTGAAAATATTTAGAGCATTTTCAAATTAAGGCCCAAGAAAAGACCGATGTTCAACGCAACTCGAAGGAAGACGGTAAAGGTTGGCTTTCCGAAGACACGCAACAGTTGCAGTTGTCCAAGACAAGAGAAACGACGTGATTGTTCCTTCTATCTGTTGAACACAATGCGGGGGAATGGAAAGGAGCAGAACGAAGAAGAAGAAGATGTTTGTAGAGGGAATTTGCTTCGAAAGCCTAATGCCTCCCCCCTGCGTTGCCCCGAGGCTCAGAACAACAAAAGGAAGCCCAGGATTGATACTTTGGACTGTCGACAAAGAATTGAACGCAAAATATTAAGATTTTAAGGGAGCAGGACACCAAGGGGGAACGAGAAATATGCTAATAGCTAATACAGTAATCCCACGAGCGCATTAATGGGGCCTACGATATCGGGCGTTTTTCCGGTAGAAATCGATACCGCGGATTTACATTCTCCTGAATGTAACAACATAATGAAAGACCTGAAAACGGCTTTTTTGATCTATTACAGCAATCTTTCTCCCTCTCTCTCACGCTCACTCACTCACTCTCTCTCACTTTCTCTCTCTCTCTCTCTCTGCCGTTGTTCTTGCTTCGAAAATTTTTCAATGACAGGGGGTGCTTCAGTGTCATGGCGCATCCGACCGGCGAATAAAAATGTTGTCATTAATGCTTTGACGTGTGACCCAGTTTTCACGCAGCTGTTGAAGATTGGAACAGTAGTTTAAGAATTTCTTTGGGTACTGATACCAGATTGGCCCAACTACCGTCTCCTACCGTACTTCTGCGTAGTAAGCTACCCAAACTGAAAGCATTTTTCTCTGCATTTCTCTACCTCTCTTTCATTAAATTCGAATCTCTTTCACCGAGAATTGAAAGAAGCCGTTCCATTCCAGCCCGTTAAAGACGTGGAATCGGTAATTTCCGCATGCTAAAACGCATTATTTTTCTTAGCCTGTCCATGGGCGCTCAGGGCACACCGGCCATCAAACATATCCCATTTACATTCGCAGATGGGCTGGGGATGGGACCGTGAATCCTTTTTCATTACTTTCTCTCTCTCTCTCTCTCTCTCTCTCTCTCTCTGTCTCTGTCTCTCTCTCTCATTCTCACTTCCGTTCCGTCTCTCACTTTTTGATGATCTCGTTTTCCTTTCTGATTTACTCTATCTCGCTCTCACACATGCTCTATCGCTCTCTCCTGTTCAGAATCCCTCTTTCTCGAAATCCATCGCTTCTCTCTCTCTCTCTCTCTCTCTCTCTCTTTCCCTCTCCTCGTCGATAGTTCGTTAGCGGTTTGGGGAGGGACGACATGGCCGAGGAAGACCCAAAAAAGACCCCGGGCCCCGGGTGGCTCGCCCAAAAAGGGCCCTCGGCATGACGTTTCGCAGCTGGGCGTAGTAGGGGTGAGGGGATTGAAGGCAGAGCCTCCTCTCTGTCTCTACCCCCTCCTCTCTGACTCTAGCTGTCTGAATCTGGCCTCTAGCGTGCTATTCCGTGACCTCCCCTCTGGGGGCCCTCCCGCAAAACAAGACCGCCCGCACCCCCCGATTCCACCCCCTAATTGGTGGCACGGGCTGGTTTGGCGGATTTGACGGATTCGTCAGGGATTAGGGTATGGTTTAGGTTTTGTAAAGTGCCAAGAAGCTTTGGAGACAGGAATTTAGTGCTGGAAGAGGTTAATTATGCTAATTTTCCTCGCTAGGAGGTAGAAATCGCGATTTTTGGCATTATTGGATTTGACATAATTGTCTATTTAGCGTAGTTTGTTCTCTTAAAAACATTTTAACGGGTTTGTAAAGTGTATTTATATCGTTTAATGCTTGAATTATGCTAATTTTGGTGGCTGAAACGTAAAATACCGATTTTTGGATTTATCGTCTTGGAATACACTAATGTTTATCATAGATTCAATGCCATAATTGGGTACGAAAAGCTTTGAAATGATTCTTCCTACATTTATATGCTTACGTTATGCTAATTTAACAGCCTTAAAGGTTGAATTGCGTTTTTAAAAATTATCGGATTCGTGGAATCCGTTTTTTCTTGCGTCTTAATATGATAATAGATTTTAAGATTCTGAAAATTCATATTGGGCAACCTTTAGATGCTAAGTTTCTTAACTTTGTCAACGTCCAAGTTACCGATTTTCGCGATTTTTTCGCGTTTGACCTGTATAAATACTTTCTTTTTGGCAATACAAAAAATATTACGGTCTTATAAATTAGCAACATGTAATACCTACGTTTCCTTATTCCTTGGTTTGATTTGTTGCATTGTTTTCTGCTATTGGACATCTTTTTACAATTCAAACCTTCTATATATAATTTCTTATGGATTATTCATGCTACCTTGTTGCCTTTTCTTTTTTATTATTTTTGCTACCAATAACCCGATTTCAGAATCAATCAAACCCCACCCCGATTCGTCTAGTAGAGCATGAAAAAGTGGGGTGGAAAGGAAGAGAGGCAGTAGAAGATCAGAAAAAGAAAAGAAGAGGTACGTGCTGAATACAAAGCGTTATTTTATATCGATTTTCTACTCTTAGAAGCCGAACCATCGGGCTTGTTAGCCAAAAAAAAAAAACGAGAAAATGGCGGATCGTCAGGAGCGTACCCTCACGTTGCTACATCTTAGGAAAACGTTTACGGAATGTTCACGGGTTAGGAATTTTTGAATTTGCATAATTACCCTTATTAAACGTATTAAAAAGGCGAAACGGAAGGGTGCCCCGAAAAATCGCTTAAAAACCGCTTTTCGAAGTATTTTCCGGGTTTGGTCGAGCGCCAAAATGCCCAATTAGCATAAAAAGTTTTTAGAAATTCCTTAACTATCTCTGCTAGCTTCCCCGCACTCAATTTTATCCAAAGAAGTACGAACAACACGTTTAGGTTTCGCTCACCGGCACCAAGGAGGTCGACGCCAACCGGATGCTGCCACTTTTCACAAAGGTTGGTGTCTCTCTCACTCTCGCTCTCTCGCTGTCTTTCTCTATCATTCCTTTTAGATCACCACCATGTTCGAACCGATGGAGCTGCGCGGCGAGTTCAAGGAGATGCCGTCGTTTTCGGCGTGGATGTGTAGCTTGTTAGTCCGGGAGGTTCGGCAGAGGGCGGCTAGTCAAGGTAGGAAAAAGGCTCGAGGATAGCGTTATGGATTTGCATTTCTGGTCCCTTCAAAACCGATATAAGTATGTCGATATAAGTGAATTTTTAGGCACAGAAGCGGCGGCTGTTGGAATTGCGGAGTATCTGGAACCATCTACCTCCGAGAAGGGTTGGCAGTTGCTGAACGGGATATTGTATGCTGTCAACACGTAAGTATTAGAGAGCGATAGAGAGAGAGAGAGAGAGAGAGAGAGAGAGAGAGAATAGATAGAGAGCGAGAGAGAGCGAGAGAGATGGAGAGAGAAAGAGAGAGCGTACCAAGCGTAAAAATAAATGGTTTCTGATCACGCTTCATTTTTTTGAGGTATTTTTAAAGCTTCGCGGTGACATAAAGCCCGGAAATTACTCCGACCTCTTCAACTCCGCCTTGATTTTTCATTCCTAATCTTTTTCCAGAGATGACGACGCGATCGTGGAAGCCGCCTGCAAGGCTTCTCTCCCCTCAACACTTGTCAAGGCCCTATATCTATTCTTTGATCTCCCGCCCTCACCTCCAGAAACTGTTGAGATGCACACACAGTTGAACACACTGATCACGGCACTGTTGGAGCGGTTGTGTCGATATAAGTGAGTTTGGAAGAGAGAGAGAGAGAGAACGAGAGATGAGAGAGACACGGAAAGAGATCCATTTTGAAGGTATCGTTTAGCCACCGCTTTTAGAAGCGTCGGAGAAGAACTAGCGAGACGTGACGATCTATCCCTGCTTTTTGCTGGAACCACCTCCCAAGTCCCACCTCAAAATGTACAGTGGAGAAGAACAAGTGCAAGAGTTTTGGAAGCGCTGGCTGCAAGAGCACTGTACGTTTTCAACTATTCTTTCAAGGGGCTCCGAACTGCCAAATCAAAGCCCCTTTTGGGCGACCTATCTGATTTCTGGCAAATTGCCAGCGGGCGTAGCGGGACGAGAGCCCTCACTCTTTCGATTTTTGCGCGAAACTGTTTTTGCCCGGTTTCTTTGTGAAAACACTATAATTCGCGCATTCTGAGCCCATTTTTGAAATCCTCGCTCAATTTTAAATAGTTTTGGTGTTTTAAGCATCAAATTTGGCCCAGAAACAGCCGAGAACGTGATTTCGAGGTTACAACAGGCAATTTCCAATGTGCGAGCTTCCCGCTGCCCTAGGTGTACAGAGGCCTCCGACGTACAGGGCTCCGATTTTCGGGGCGTCACTCAATTTTTGGCATTTCGTAGCCCCTTTAAAGGACCCGGCAAGACTAGCTTATGGATTTTTTTGACTCCTTACGGATTTTACTGCTTCTGTAAGGATGCATAGCCAGAAAAATCTCGACGCACGTTTTGCCGATCCCCGTAACATACTTTTATCAAGACGTATGCACTAATGAATCTTACAGAACCCCATCTCTCGTGAAATACATGGTGGCAAAGGATTGTATCGGGACGTACGTGGCCGGGATGCAAAATCCGAAGCTCAACGTCAGGGAGCAGGCCGAGATGATCATCTGCTTATTGTGTATCTTGAAGGTAAGGTGGGGACAGAACCCTCCTTTATGCCTAAAATTTATCTAAAATTCAAATATTTTAATACTGTTTCAGGACTCGGCCCGTGGCTCGATGGCGCTGGCAGATGCATTTGTAAAGGCGAGCGGATACGAGATTCTGAAGGACTTTTTGATACGGTAGGTGGTCGTCACTGTATTCTTGTTTTTACGCATTTTTAACGGAACCCGGATGGTAAACATCCAGCTGTATTTCTTGGTGCATTGTTAAAAACTATATTTACTCTGTTGGTCCCTTTAAATCGCAATTTCTATCTTTTTGAACGTTCCCGAAAGGCAACATTTTGCTCGACAAAATGCCAAATTTTAAAAGAAATATTCCGAGCATCTAAGTCCTCTGAAAATCTGCTTCTTATGTCAAAAACTGAGAAATATGACAGTGCTGTTTTTTTCAGCAACGAGGAAGACACCGATCTGGTCCGCAACATACTTCTTATGCTCATTTCGGTGATCACCGCCGGTCCTACAGAAATCCGGCCGCAGCACAACTCCGGGCTGGTCTCCCTGCCCAATTTTTCGGTATCAGTGTCTTTTTTAGATCAAAATTTTCCGTTTAGCTCCCAGTTCCGATCGGCTACGGAGCCTCCGTCAGGAATCCGGCCGGATTCCGGTTGTTGTACGAGATATTTAGCCAGGTAGGCTTTATTTAGATTTCTTAAAAATGTTTTTCTCCGGAACAGATGCTTACTGTAGTTGTTTTTTTAAACAACCAAAATTGTGGATTCTGGGAATGTTTTTTAAATGCTAAAATATTTAAAATTAATTTTAAGCTCTTTAAATTATTTTTGGGCGATTTTGGTTTTATTTAAAGCTGATTAAACTAAAGTACCAAGATTTTTTCAGAGCATCAATCCCAAAGTGCATGTTTCCGTCATCGACGTGGTGCATACAATCTACACCTCCGATCCGGCAAATTATTTCATTTTGGACCGCGAGTTCCCGCTCTCGCTTTTCATCGAGAAGATGGCTAGTCGATGCCCGGAAGCGCAGGTAAACCGGATTTTGCTCTCTCCCTCTCTCTCTCTCTCTCGCTCTCTCTCTCTCTCGCTCTCGCTCTTTCTCACTCTCTCTCCCGCTTGAAATCAAAAAAAGGATTCAAGACGATTTTCAGCTGAAAATCCTGGAACTGATCGAGCACGTGTGCTTCCAGCTGGCCTACATCCCGTGCAAGGAGTTGATCTCGGTATGTTTTGCGGCCTGATCAGAGATTTTTGAAGGTTTCCTAAAGGATCTTTGCTAGCCTACCCAGCTTCAAAAAATACCTTTTTTTGTAGGTGTGCGTGTGTATGAAGACCGAGCTCGCCGCCGGCCGCCCGGAAATGCTGATCCACGCCGTGCAGAGCGCCTTCAGGGTGTTGACCGTCGACAGTTTGCTGAAAGTAAATAGATGACAACATTTCATAATTATAAATCGCTTCAGGACGCCTTTCGGGAAGTCGGGATGCTGGAAACACTTTCTTACGTTCTCAACCAGCTTTTCGGAGTCCAGAAAACCAGAGAACTCACTGACGACGAGCGAAAATTGACGCTTCTGGCAACAGATCTACTGACCGTGGTCGTCAAGGGGAACGTTGAAAATGCCAGTGAGTACAAATCTAGACAAATTTCTGGCATGAGAGCGCCTTTAAGGATGCGTTTTCTGTTGTTTTCGAACGACTGGCGGTAAAAAATGCAAAATTACATTTATTTTTATTGGTGTCCTGCTGCCGGTTTGTAAAATTGGCCCCACTTATGACCTGGGTTTCCTAAGACCGATTTTATAATTTCAATCTAAAATCGATCATCAATGTGTGATTCTAGAGCTTCTTGGAGATTGCTTGGGACCTCGAGGGCTTCTGACGCTCGTTTGTGGGGTCACCGGAGAGTGGAGGAGCAGTGCTTTGCAACTGTTGAAACAGGTGAGAGAGACAGATAGAGAGAAAGAGCGCGAGAGAGAGCAAGAGAGAGAAAGAGAGAGAGAGAGAGAGAGAGAGAGAGAGGGAGCGAGAGAGCCAGAGAGAGCCAGAGCGATACAAACCCATTCCAGGCGCTCCTATTAACACCCTCTGACATCTACCTTGCCGCTATCGTCTCCCAGCTGAACACCCCGCCACCACAAACGCAACTTGATCTCAATGTGGATTTGTTAAAGGTAAGTAAAGATCGGGCTTTATCGGGCATTTTTTTTGTCGTCATCGCCCCTTTAAAGGTACTATAGAAACACTAGAATCGGCCCCGGTGCCGACTAGGTCTTCCAGCTACCTGGAACGCCTAATCCGGCGCCTCTGGCGTTTCGGGTGGCTGTCGACACCTAGTCGCCGGCGGGGTCGATTCTGGCGCTTTTCAGTACTTTTAAATTATCCATTTTTCAGTGTGTTCTTGGTGTTCTCCGGGAAAGCCACAAAGTCCGAGTACTCTTCCGACGAGTTGGTGGCTACCTGGCTCTGATCTCAATGCTATTGGGTTAGTGACTTTCTGGATTTCTAATATCTGTCTCTCTCGCTCATTCTCTCTCTCTCCCACTTTATCTTTTTATCTTTCTTTCTGAAAACCGACTTTGCAGGACTGGAAGGCATTTTTACCGGGAAGTCGCAAGAAAACTCAGACTCCGAGAAAGTCTCTACGTCTGAATACCTCGACTTCCTTCACCTAATATTTAAGGTAAGCTGTATTTTGATATGCTAGTTTTTGTCGTAATTTATCATTGTCATAGGTATTTACATAGCAAATTTCAAGGTGTTAACCCTGTCGATGCGCTTCGAGCCGAGCAACGCGCGCTACTTTTTCCAGGAGGTAAAGAATTTTTGGCATTTTGACTGCTGGATTAAATTATTAAGCTCTGACTAAGAATCCTTAGCTATATAAATAACTTCTCTTTTGTTTTAAGATGTATAAAATATTTTAATTGATTTTACTAGGTGAAATGGGACAGCATCACCACCGTCCTCCGACTCACCGGTGCTTTTGGGCCAAATACCGTAGTCGAGGTCAGTCATTTTTTTAATTTTTGGTGCCGTGGCGAGAATGTGGTAATTTCTGTTTTTATTTTCTCGTTTTTCAGACCAATGAGACCATCTGGAACACAAACGGATCAGAGCTGAAGGATGAGATGAACCTGTGCCACTCGGTGTTTCAGATGGACGAGAATATACAGCTGGGGTAAGTGTCAAAAAAGCTGATTTTTTTAACAACCATGATGACATAATGTTACTATTCACCTTTCAAAATATAATCAACCTACTGAGCAACTTGTTATCAAGCTTTAAAGCCGAATTTTGAGTGTCGTAAGCAGCTAAACCGCAGTTTTTTGTGGCCGATTCTCGCTTTAAAGGGAAAGGCAAAACTCCACTATGCTAGATTCGTAAATTACCTTGTGAAATTTTGTACGTATTAAATGTCGTAATCAGTCCATAAACTCCATTTTTCAGCTCTATCCCCGAAAAAATGCCCACGCCCATCTTTTTCGCCTGCTACATCATCCGGCTCCTTTTCAACATGGCGCTGGATAATTATGAAAAGTCAGTTTTTATCCTATTATTTTGTGTTATCATTTTCGCTACCGTAATCCGTCGAAAAACGCCGTTTTTAAATTTTTAGAAAACCAGACTTATCCGCATTCTATGCCAGCCTACAGAAATTGTAAGAAAAGATTCTACAGTACCCCTCCTGCCCTCTTTGCTTCCTAGTTTAACTTGTTTTAGTTTGAATTTTTAATTCGATGATCCAGCCTAAAAATGTCCTATTTTGCCTACTCTAGTTTGTTTAAAGGGAATGGGAAGTGCAAAAATCGACCTGTTGCTTTTACTAGGTCTCGACAGCTACGTGATAAACCAAATGACGCTTTCACTTGATTGGATTCTCAGTTATGAACCGCATGCAAGTGTTTATTTTTAAAGGGCCGCGCCTACGGTTTGGCATTCAGTACGCAACATTACGCAAGGCTACGCAACCTTACGAAGTGCTCCTCACTACTCGGGACCTCGGAACGCTCCGCTGCGCTCACGCCCGCCGTTTTTCCATTGCGTACAGGATCCATGCGCCAAAATTTAACCTCTATCGGCCTCGTCATTTGGCCAATTTCGTAGCTGTCAAGACCTAGTCCTCCTAAAGGATTGTTTATGGCACTTATCAGCCCCTTTAAAGCCTTAGGGAGTGTAGGGAATGGAGCTGTTCGAGAAAAGATATCGAGTTCAGGGTCTCTTCCGACGTGTGTTGGTGTGCCTCGCTGTCTCCACCGGACGGAAGCTCATCTTTGGCTGCTTCTGACGATGCCTCTTCTGTTGTATCCTGGTCATCTTCCGTACTCGTCCACCCCGGGGCTGTACTCTCGATTCTGGCCCTGCTGCCGTCGATTCAGGCACCGCAAACGAAGTAAGTGGGAAAGTGAGAGAGAGAGAGAGAGAGAGAGAGAGAGAGAAAGAGAGCTAGAGAGAGCGAGCTAGAGAGAGAGAGAGCTAGGGAGAGCGAGAGTGAGAGAGAAAAAGAAAAATAACGCGAGCGAGATGGAACAATGTTCCCCTTTCAGATGGACCGTAGCTGCTCAATACTACTGCTCCCTTCTCCTCAAAGCCCTCCTGAAACCCGAGAGGAATCAGCAGCTGATGAGCCAAGTCGAAATGCCGCGTCATCTTCTAGCCGTCGCTGGCCGGCTATTCCTGTGCGATGATCATCTCCTCCTCCCTCCGTTCTACTATCTGCTCGAGAGACTCAGCTACCAATCGATGCACCCGAGGGAGCTACGGTAGTTTAAGAGCATGTTTTACAGAATTAATCTGATTTTAGACAATTCCTGAGGCTAGATGAACCCTTGTGCTCGAGGAATTTGGACCCTGCTCCTGGAGAAGAGGCCGAGGGTGTGAAAGATGAGGGCGGGCCGATACCGCTCTCCAGAGTCAAGGCCCTGGTGTCGATGATGACGCCGCGATCGGCAAGGCCCCAGCCGAGCCCGTCGTTCGTCGAGTTCGACCAGGCGCTCGAGGCAAGTAAAGGCTATATAGCGTTAAAGGGATTGGGTCGCCTGGGAAATTCTCTAGCACCAGAATTTAATTTATACTGCTTTTTTTTAGGGCTTCTCCGCCCTCTACATCCCCTCTCTCTGTCCGACGTTCTCGACCGTACGTACCGAACGAGTGTTCCCTCCCCTGAATGGGTTGACCTTCTCGACTTGGCTGTATGTTGACTGCTGGTCGGATAAGAAGGCTGATGCTCATCCACTTCGACTCTTGACCCTGTCGAGGACGGTCTGCTACACCGACGAGCGCAAGAAGGTCGGTTAGATGGCCGAAAAACTGGACTAACAGTCTGGACGTATCAACGCGTAGCGGGCGCATACGGGCGCGTAGCATAGCGTGTTTTATCGTCATTTTCAAAATGGAATCCACTTTTTAGCTGGGACCAAAGAGCCTGGGTTGTTTGAGCATCCAACTCTCCGCCATGGACCACTCGCTGCTGATCTCCACCGAAGAATCCGAGCCGCCGGGCGGAGACCTGGAGCGCGAAGCCCGATTTGCTTCTGAGAAGGTAGGTCCTAGAAAGACACTGCGAGAGATTGGAGAACGAGGAGGGAGATAGCGAGGGAGAGAGAGGGAGACAGGGACGCTACAATATGCACTCTCTACCGTACCAAATTTTCAGGTGGTCCGAGTAGCCCTGGAAGACATCCTACGCCCAATGGAATGGACCCACATCTGTGTGGTTCTGACGCGCTCCGTCCTGAAGCCCAGCCAAGTGAACGTCTACATCAATGGTCGACAAGCGGCCGCCCAAAAACTGGCATATATTGTCCCGAATCCGGGAGGTGCTGCTCCACAGGTATATCGGTGTACGATAACCCAACAATTCGAATTTTTAGCTAGCCACCACCGCCGCTGTGAACGCCTTCATCGGGACGTTGCCGAACATGAGGCGGCCAAGTCGATTACGGTAAGTGAAATAGCACTGGCTAAGCATAAGCTATTTACTTGTTTAACTCGTGGAACATCGCTCTCAAAATTTTGGCCTGAACGTGCTCGGCTCGCCGAGCCGCTCCAACTCGAGCTCTTCTTGGCGCGCTGCTACAAAGCATATTTTTTTTTCAAAATTACTGATGAATTCTAGCTCCTGCAGCTGAAAATTTTCTCATCCTTCCGCTTGAACTCGCTGAACGTGTTGCGCTTCTCTGGTCCCATAAAATAGATTTAAAATTTTTGGAGTGGTCCAAGTAGCTCTGAGCTCGAGAAGCTGGTCTGAACGTGTTCAAGTCGCTGAGAATTCTTACGCGCAGAAATGGAATCGAATTTGTTGATCTCGTTGAGCCCCACCGAACTCAAATCTCCTTTCCAGGTTCCGCCTCGCCCCCACCTACATCATCGAGGAACCGCTCAGTTCCGAGACTGTCCGCTCAGTTTATCATCTACAACCACACTACATTGGTAATCTCCAAACGTCCGGGCCTGACGGTGCTGCACTTGTTGGGGATGAGAAGATACTCTTCTCCCTGAACGGCGCGGCGATGGGCGAGTTGACGCTCGGGAAAATCAGGGCGCTGTACAGCCGGATGGACGCCGAATCGTTGGCTCCTCACCTCGGATTGTCCCCTCAAGACAATGCCACCCAGCTTCGTGTAATGCAGAATACAGCCCAACATCTCCCAGGAGCTGGCCGGGCTTTTGGAGCTGTACTTGTTGGATATCTTGGGATGCGATCTTTTACGCCGTGTCCGGTACCCAGGCTTCTGGATTCGATCGGAGGCTATGCGCCGCTGTTTGGACTCATTGAGATGGCGACTGACTCGGAGGGTAGGTGATCTTTTCCAAAGTTCCACCGACTTCGAGCTGTTCGGGCTCAAATTCGGCATAAAGCCCCCCAAAATACATAATTTTTGCTTGAACTGCCTCCGGTCGATGAACCTATAATACTTATCTTCCTCTTTTGGTTGCGCTACTTTTGATAGCTTAATGGTCCTAGTTGAAATGCTCCAAGATTAGGAGAAATTCTGCGGTTTTTATAAAGATCCTCCGACCTGGATCTTTAACTTGAAATGCATAGCCAAGGCCCAGTAGATACACGTGCCTAGCTGAACGACTTGAACTTGAGGCAATTCTCGTTTGAACTGCTCGGTTTTTTTCGCGGGATTGTTCAGTTCAATAGCCAGGTTATGCTGAAAGTCTTCCAGACGCTGTTGTATTTTCAATACGCCTCTGAACGCCTCAAAAATTGTATTTTTCAGGTCTCTACGCGGCTCTAAAGGCATTGGTATCAGCCACAAGATCCAATACCTCGCTTCACGCCTCGCTAGCTGAGAGTCGAGCCTATCAGATGTTGGGTGTATTGCTTGAAGACAAGAGCTCCCTTCTCAACACCCATATTCTGCACATGGTCTTCACCCTCGTAGGCACGTTGGATACGTCGAGGGAAGCTGCTCATATTCCATCACAACAGGTCGGTCTCTCTCGCTCCCTCTCTCTAGCTCGATCTCTGGCTCTCTCACTCTCTCTTCCTCTCTCTCTCTCTCTCTCTCTCTCTCTCTCTCGATCGGTCACCACCCGATTTTTTTTCCAGGCCTTTGACGACGTTCTCTGCGACCTGGACATCTGGCGCGGCGCTCCGGACGAGCTGCACAAGATGCTGCACGAGCACTTCTACGAGTTGATCACTGATCATCAACGGGATAATTTGTCGATTGTCCGGAGGTCGAACTTGTTGCCACGGCTTTTGTTCACCTTCTTCGATGCTGCTCATCTACTGCCGACTACTAATGACATCGTCTTCAACTTGATTTCGGCGTTGATACAGCCGCCGTGTGATTCGAGGTGAGGGAGAGAGGGAGGGAAAAAGATAGAGCGAGAGAGAGAGAGCGAAAGCGCGAGATAGAGAGAAAGCGCAAGATAGAGAAACTATCCAGTTTTTCCAGATCCCTCCTCAAAATCGGCCAAATGATCGCCGCTACCTTGCCCGGCACTACTGAAGATGGACTTGCCGAAGAAGCCCTCCCATTCCACATCTCCGAGCTGCAGATGATCGTCCTTGGCGGCCAGGGCATCACGCTGGAACCCAAAAAGACGCCCCCGATACCGTACCTCGTCTACGTCCGCAACCGCATCCTCAACCTGCTGGCCAACATCCTCGCCCACACCAGCCCGCAGCACAACCAGCAGTAAGTAGAATTTCGAGGAGTTAAGCCGCGATACGCTCTTACCTAGTTATTGCGTCGTGCATCACGTCCGATTTTATGGTTTTATGTAGATGAACATGCCGGAAATGTCATTTTTAGGATGAGCGAGCAGCTGGTGCGTGTCCTGGGGTTTGATTGGCTGCTCTCCCTGATGGCCCCCCGAGTCCATTCCTGTACCGTACACCTGTCGCTCCGGATTCTTTTGAATTTGCTGGCACATGAGAGTCTTCTCAACAAGTTCAGGTGAGCATCTACTGTAAATCTGAACTATTATGATCAAAAAACACTGCTGATTTTCCCAAAAATCTCCTAAAAATACGTTAGTTACGTTATACTCCAATTTACAGAGAGGGCTCCGGCAACGGCGGGTGGTTGAGCGATGCAGACAGTGTCGTACGGAATCGAGCTGCCGTACTTTTGGGATTTTCGATGTCCGCCCACGGTGGTTCCGTCGGGAGCCATGTTGACATTAATCCGGAGCTGCAGAACTGCAATGGGTATGGTTTTGTACCGGTTCTGGTCGTGAACATACCCGCCTGAACGCGCCATTGTGTCCCGTTGCGTGTCGCGTCCGCCGTCTGTTTTAGCGAATTTAACATACCAAAGGGTCGCCGCCGCGTTAAGCCTTGCTAGAAATGGCTAGATAAAGTTTTCTTCGAGAGAGAACGAGACACGCAACGCGTTCACGAGCCTCCCACTGATTTTGTTCACATTTTCTCATTCAGGTTTGCGGCCCTTGAGCACGTACTCTCCGGTCATGCTCATCTACCGCATCCCCACTTCGCCCTTCTCAGCCTCCTGGTTGGGCAGCCAGTCCGACAACTCCGCTTCTGTGACAGCTTTTCGGTGGATCTCGTCTGGACACACGTCTTCGGGTTGGCACCGAATAGGTACGGTATAGGAACCTTATACTTCTATTCAAAAAAATCATCTTGTGTTGCCGTATCTCAAGGAAGGATTAAGCAAAAAAAAAACCATTTTCAACTCGGCGAGAGCGAATCAGACAGAGAGAGTGAGACAGAGAGAGAGACTGAGAGTGAGAGATCGAGAAATAAAGAATGAGAGAGATCGAGAAAGATAGAATGAGAGAGAGAGAGAAAAAGAGAGAATGAGAGAGGAGAGAGAGAGAGAAGTGCCGGCTAGACAGCCAGGGTCCTATCCAAAAATCCATCGATTCCAGAGTGTCCTCATCAAATCGGTAATCCATTATTTTCCAGGATTTAATACTGCACTTTCCACCGTTAGAAATTTCACAATGACCACTTTCAGACTTTAGATTTCAGAATTTAATCCGTATATTCTTTTTTAGCTCACTGACAGTGATTGTGATTAGCGATTTACCTTTTTTTATTTGCGACGGAATACGGTAGTTTAATTACGCCTTTTAGCTCCGTGTACGAGGCGCTGTCGACGACGAATTTCTGCTTCGATGCAATGTTGCCGCTGTTGTCGATGGTTCGGGCGGCGATACATTGCGAGGATAGAAACGTAGGTTGTACTCGTGATCTCTCTCTCTCTCTCTCTCTCTCACTCGACTCTTTCTCTCCCTCGCTCTTTCTCTCTCTCTCTCTCGCTCTCTCTCTCTCTCTCGCTTTCGCACAATGGTTTTTGCAGGAAACGTCAGGCTGGCACATTGCCCACCCGTCTGCCCTCCTCCAAATCGTTGGCTTCTTCTACCAAAACTCTCCTCATTTCTACCAAATGGCCCATTCGGACGAGTTTGTCATCGCGCTGTTCAACACGCTCTTTAAGGTACGGTAATCAAAAATGATCTTTTTTAAGTAACCTAAAATCGGTTGGGAATCCACAGCCAAGACGATAGCCTTGCCTTGCTTCCTTTAAAAAGTCGAACCGGAAAAAAGTTGGCTTTTTAGGAAATCTCCTCCAGAAGCAGCCAGGGCAGCTCTACACCTCCGGAAGCCATTGAAGGTCAGTCTTACGGGCTTTATCTCTCTCGCTCTCTCTCCTTCTCTCTCTCTCTCTCTCTCTCTCTCTCTCTCTCTCTCTTCTCCCTCTTACGCTTACTCCATCCTCGTTTTTCAGCCCTAACCTCCATGATCGCGAAACAAGTCCTCGACCTTCTCCGCAAAATCCTGTGCGACGATATGCAAAGCACACCGCCAGGCGCAAGATCCGAGCCGCTGATCGATGTATTGATAGACGTAAGCTGATCTCTGGCTACGGTAGAATTCCCACGTTTTAGCACGTCTCCGAGGGCGGTGGTGGGGCTCGAGCACATGCTCTTTCAGTTCTCTTGCTCAGCGTTCTGGAGCATCTCGTGTCGACGGATCTGCTGGTTTCGTCGAGTTTGCCGCCGCAGGTAAACTAGCGTGTGCTTAAATTTACATTTTAAACTGATTTTGCAGATCAACAGCAACTCCCTCGCCCAGCAGGGATCCAACATGTTCCACTTTGCCAGTCGGAGCATAGACGCATTGTGGAATGGGAATTTGTCTTCGACGGAGCCTTTGAGGTATTCTTAGGCTATGAAATAAAAACGGCCTGAGACAGAAAGAGAGAGAGAGAGAGAGAGAAGAGAGAGAGAGAGAGAGAGAGAGAGAGAGAGAGAGAAAGAACGACAAAGTGAAAGAGGGAGAGGGGGTAAGATAAACCATTTGCCTATTTCCAGAATTCTCAACGCCCTCTACCACATGCATTCCATCGCTGCACGAAAAGACAACAGCGCGATGCAGGTCAGTATTTCAGCTTCCCTTATTCTACGCAGAATTGCGCTACATTCCGTATTTACAGGAGGATCCATCATTCCGTAAAATTCCGTAACATTCCGTAATTCCAGATCGACTCTCTCCTGTCAGCCATCATGCGATGCGTACTGTACATCCTCAGTCGCCCTATCGACAGCGTGGCCATCCAGTTGACAATTCTGGATACCTTGACCTCGGTGGTCCATAAAAAGTTGGTTAAATTGGAGGTTTATGACGTCATTTGGCATTTTCTGGACTTGTAATGCTGGGATCTGATAGCTTGCAAACGCGAAAAATGAAAAAAGACAGTAAGCTAACCTTTTAGGTACATCTTCCTGGCCTCGAACGAGTCGTGGTTCTTCGGAGCGCTGTGCCACATGGTCTTTATGCTGTCGATAACACCTGATTACCTCGAGAACTCGGATGCCGCGTTGCAGCGGAATAGCGCACAGGTCAGTTTTCGAAGGGATCTAATTTTAAAGGAGCTTGGAACGCAAAAAATGTAACAAACTCAAGTTGGTAAATTCAAAACTTAGGCACCAGGGGGGGCTGTAAAATCAATGCTCAGCATCGTTCCGAAGGAATCTCTGCTAGCTAACGCGCTCTCAAAATGACGCTAAATGTATGTGCGGCAAGAGAAAGGAAGCAAGAGCGAGTTAGTGTGTGAGATAACAATAGAGTTAGAGACACCGAGAGAGCGATAAAGAGAAAGAGCGGGAAAGAGAGAGACAGAGTGCGAGAGAAAAAGAGAGAGAGCTTGAGAGTGTGAGCGAGAGTGAGAGGGACAGGGTGACAGGAAGACAGGGAGTGGGAGAGAGACAGGGAGAGAGTGTGATAGAATGAGAAAAAGTGACAGAGAGATAAAATATTACTAAAACTGACCTTCAATGGCTTCCGGCAGCGTTGAACTGCCTTGGTTGAGTGAGAGAGACCCATCAGAATGCTGCCTTCACGATCCCATAAAAACCAATTTTCCAGGTAGCTCAATGCGCCTCCCGCATCTGGTCGGACGTATTGATGCAAAAGAAGGGCTTCATCGAGGAGATCTTCAAACGGCAAACCGGTACCATTTTCTACGGTTCGCTTTTGGCCGTCGTTTCGTTCAGAATATTTCTATGATCTCACTGATCCCTATGATCTCCCAATCCTCGTGTTGTCGTGGTGGTTGGTGTGCAAATATTAAGATCTAGATTTCCAAAAATAAACGCGATTTTTAGTGATGGAGCTGAACGCGGCGCGTGCCCTCCTTGCCCAGGCCGCCGGGGTGCAATGGTCTCATTTTGTGGACTCGCAGCTACGGCCATTTGGGCAGACAACGACCAAGGAGCAAATCCAGCAGCAGATCAGCTCGGTGGGCTTCATTATTAATTTTTTTAGACAGGGCACAAGAGAGAAGCTGAACTTGTTGAACTTGATGATGATGGCCATTTTTTAGAGAATCACGAAGGTAACTTCTGGGCTTCAGCGATTGGCTAGTAAACGTGGAGTTACATCAGTAGGAAGTTTGCAATCGATGACGCCATGGAAAAATCACGGCATCAGCGAGGAGGTCAGTTTATCTTTGCGCTCTTTCTATCTATCGCTCTCTCACTCTCTCTCGCTCTCTCGCTCTCTCTGTCGCTCTATTTCTTTCACGCCCTCGCTCTCTCTCTCTCTCTCTCTCTCTATCTCTCTCTCGATTTCCAGTCTTTCGTCTGCTCTGGAATCGGCTAAAAATAAGAACCAACACGTCAGCGAGGAGGTCGAGCTCTCTCTTGCTATCTCTCGCTCTAGGGTTATCTCTCGTCTTCTATCGCATCATCACTCGCATCAAGGACTCTGACCGTTTAAAAAGCACGACGTCAGCGAGAGGACGGCTGTCGGTCTCGTTCTCTCCCTCTCACTCCCTCATTTCCAGGTTGTCCTGATGTGGGTAAAAGTCCACGTCTCCCTCGTCAAGGAGCTCGTCACCGTCCTCGCCGCCCGTTATCACGAGTGGCACTCCCACGTCCGAAAGTGGAGCCTGCAGGAGTGGCATGCAATTGAGCAAGAGCTTATCCGAGAAAGGGGCCTATGGGGACCCGAACAAGCTTCGAGACTTGAGAAATACAAGTTGGATGTGACAGAGGGACCAAGTAGAATCCGCCGGAAGCTGATCCCAGATCGAGAATTCTACCACCACTACCCCTACCGACCCCATTTGGACAATCCGGGGGCAAAGGCCCTTCGAGCGAAAGTGGCGATATCTAGGGATTCGAAGGAGTATTATGAAGCTGTAAAAGCGAGGAGGGGACGGCTATTCGATACGAAGATCATCGATGACTCGACAGCACCTGTGACCCCGTCGAATGACAAGCCATTTGCCGACAGCATTCAGGATCTAGACCGTGGGTTTTTCGAAGTGATTTTGCGCATTAATAGGCGTTAAAATCAATCTATTTTTATTGCGAGCCAACGAATCCATAGCCCTGCCTTGTCTTGCCTTTAAAGCGCCATTTGAAAGAATTCATTAAATGCTTATGCACCGTATTTTGGAATCGCGCGTAGCTGTAGATAACTTGTCCGCTAGAAGCGTCGATTATTACAATTGCTAGCCCCTTTAATTGGATTATAAAGGCTTCAGTCAATCGTTTGTCTATGTCAGTTGACAGCTACTGTCGCTCCGAATTTGGAATTGGGCCTCGGTTTGATCACCTTTAAACAAATTCAAACCGGCTTGTAACCGTCAATGGGCTTGGCGCGTAACTGTCAACACCCAGCCAGGGGCTGGGTTTTTTCTCACGCATTCGCGTCGCTTTACAAAACCAATTTTCCAGAAATCAACAGCTCCCTGCTCCGCCGAATCTCCGCCAGACCGCCTGCAAAGATCTCCGAGAAATCCGAGCTAAATAGTCGAGATTCTGAAAGTGCCGAGAAGGAGGGAGACGCCGCTGAGGAGTCTGAGGTTAGTGACCCTCTTTTTGACAAGCGTAAGTTCCCGATTCAGATGGCTGAAGAGGGCTCCCCGGAAGACCCGACCCAATCCACCTCATCATCTGGGAGTCAAGAAAAGAAAGCGGAACCCTCGAAGCAGCAAGATACTGGAGCGGCTACCTCGAAGGAAGAGCGACCGAATTATCAGAATTTGATTCGACTGCTTGAAGAGGGAGAGACACTGCATAGCATGTTCAGATGTGCACGGATTCAGGTAAGGAATTGGTCTATTTTTGAAATATACAAAAAAAATACCCTTTCTCTCTCGCTCTCCTGTCTCTCTCTATCTCTCGCACTCTCTTTCGTTCTTGGTAGTATAGCAAGCTACTGGGGGGAAACAAGTATTTGATAAAAACCGGAGAGCGAGAGAAAGAGAGAGAAAGAGACAGAAAGAACGAGAGAGAGAGAGAGAGAGAGAGAGAGAGAACAAGAAACTTCCGTCCTACCCGGCTGCCATCCCCTTAAAACGAGTAATTTTAGGGTCTCGAAACCTGTGAGGGTTTGATGCTGTTCGGTCGTGACCACTTCTATGTCGTTGACGGCTTCACCTTGATGAGAACGAGGGAAATCCGGGATCTCGACTTTCTACCGCCCGATATTCACGATCCCATCGTGCCGTACACCGCCACCGGAGCCACCCGACCCCCGAAAGCGTCCCGGATCTGCAGCAAGTTCAGCTACGACGACATCAGGGAGATTCACAAACGGCGGTAAGTGTTGTGATAGTAGAGGTTTTACGATTTTTTTTCAGATACCTCCTCCAACCCATCGCGATGGAAGTGTTCAGCGCCGACGGCCAGAATTACCTATTGGCTTTCCCGAAGAAGATCCGCGACAACGTGTACGACAAGCTACTCTCGCTGGCGCGTCGTTTGAATGAGAGCGGAACGGAGAGTGTCTCTGGTCAAAAGGCGTCGATGGCCGTTGAAGCGACGGGCAGGACGGTGTCGTTGATCAACTCCTTGGTCGGCCAGCAGTCCGTTACGCAACGCTGGCTGTCGGGAAATATTTCCAATTTCACGGTAAGTCAAGGAAATTTTTCAAAAAAATTGTGGCTTCCTCAAATGGTTTTGCTCGGTTGCTACGCACGATCAGGGGCTGGTCCCAGAGAATCTCTGCTAGCTTGTCGAGCGTATTAAACCGAATTCCCCAAGTCTCTCTGCTAACTTTTTTAAAGAACCTTTGCTAACTTGCCATCCTCAAAATTTTCCCCACAGAATCTCTGCTAGCTTGCCCTAGAAGCCCTCTCGCTTCACTAGATTTCTTCAAAGCAACCCTGCTAACCTATCCAGTTTCCGCAGCATTAACCTTCCTAAAGGGTCTCTGCTAGTTTGCCTAATTTTCGCTGACCGGGTGGTCCAGCAACGGTCTTAGGAATTCTGAACAAAATTGCTGAATTTGTCTCTCCTAATAAACTCGTTTCCAGTACCTGATGCACCTGAACACGCTCGCCGGGCGGTCGTACAACGACTTATCCCAATACCCGGTTTTCCCGTGGGTATTGGCGGACTACACCTCAAAAATCCTCGACCTGACGAATCTGAATTCGTTCCGCGACCTGAGCAAACCGATGGGAGCCCAGAATACCGACAGGCTCGAGCAGTTCTTGAAGAGATATCGAGAATGGGACGATCCCACCGGGGAGATCCCTCCATATATGTATGGAACTCACTACTCGTCGGCCATGATCGTCGTCTCGTATTTGGTGCGGTTGGAGCCGTTCACGCAACAATTTCTCACCCTGCAGGTACGTTTTTGGAGATAATAAGGGAGAAAGAGAGAGCGAGAGAGACAGAGAGACACGGGGAGAGAGAGAGAGAGAGAGAGAGAGAGAGAGAGAGAATCGATGGCGAATTTCCAGGGTGGTCACTTCGACCTGGCGGATCGGATGTTCCACTCGGTTGGCGATGCTTTTCTGAGTGCTGCCAAGAACAACATGGCCGACGTGAAGGAGTTGATTCCTGAGTTCTTCACGCTTCCCGAGCTGTTGCTGAACAACAATCGATTCGATCTGGGTGTGAAGCAGAACGGAGTCGCACTTGATGACGTCGTGTTGCCGCCCTGGGCTAATGGGGATCCGAGAGAATTCGTGAGGTAAGACAGCGGCAGGGATAGAGAGAATGAGAGAGAGAGCGAGTGAGAGAGAAAGAGAGCAGCTAGAGAACCACCTATGTCCCATGAACGCAATGAAAAGGTTGGATTTTAGGCTCCATCGGGCTGCCCTTGAATGTGACATCGTCTCCGCCCACCTTCACGAATGGATCGACCTCGTGTTCGGCTACAAACAACAGGGCGAAGGCGCTGTTCAGGTGAGCGAGAGAGAGAGACAGATCGAGTGAGAGAGGCAGAAAGACTTAGAGAGCAAATATTACCGCAATTTTTAGGCCAACAACGTCTTCCACCACCTCTTCTACGAGCGCAACGTCGACTTCGAAGCTATTGACGATCCCTTGTCCCTCAATGCTACAATTGGATTTGTCAACAATTTCGGGCAGATCCCCGCTCAGCTCTTCAAGAAGCCACATCCGCAGAAGAAGGTCAACCTGGTGGAGGGGTACGCTTCAACTCCAGGAGTGACAACGCAACGACTATTCTATCACTGTCTGCACTCGCTGAAGCCGCCACAAGCACCGATAAAAGGTGAGGGAGACCGAGAGAGCTAGAGAGAGAGAGAGAGAGAGAGAGAGAGAGAGAGGAGAGAGTCCACAAAAACCGAAATGTTTAGAACTCCGTGGCCCCGTCGGCGCGATCCACGTCTCCGAGAAGGGCATCGTAGCCGTGGAAGCCGGACGAGTGCTTCTATCCCCCACCAAATACCTCGCCTGGGGCTTCCCGGACCGGTCGATCCGGTTGGGTACGGTGGATTCCGACAAGGTACTGTGGAAACGTCAAAATCCAGAAAACACCGTTTTAGTCCTCCTGCATCCTTGAGATGTGCGACACGCAGGAGCTGACGTGCGTCGCGGCTGGCGAGGAGCGAAGGGTATTCTGTGGATCGTCGACAGGTGAGCTATGGAGAGAGCGAAAAAGACAGATGGATAGAAAGGTTGAAAGACAAAGAGATAGAGTGCGAAAGAGAGAGAGTGAGAGAGAGAGAGAGAAAGAGAGAGACGGTGGTCGACCTAGATCATCTTTTTAGGCTGCGTCAGCGTGTGGAATTTGACAAAGAAGCACCCTCGGATGAGGAAAGTCAAGACGCTGGACGGACACTCTGATGCCGTCACTTGTATTGTAAGTATTTCAGGTTTTAAAGGGGTGCCGATAACTACAAACTGCTCCAAAAGCTCGATTAATTACAGAAAATACTAAAAATTAGCTAAAAGTGACTGAAGTGCTAAAAGTGACTAACTTGGAACTGAAGAACTTGCCGAAGTTGCATGTACTTAATTAATTTACTTGTAAGTATCATTCCGATTTCTAGGAAGTCTGCTCTGCCCACGCCTTCGTCGTCTCGGCCTCTCGTGACTGTTCTGTCATCGTGTGGCACGAGAGGGAACTCTCTTTGCTACGACAGCTACCCCCACATCCTTCACCCGTCTCGGCGCTGGCCGTCAATCAGACTACGGTAGGTTCGGCAGGGATTAGGATATTATCGGAATATTTACCGTACGGCATCTCCATTACTTAAAGTGCACATCGATACCAGATCCGTACCATAATATCCATATTTAGGGCGACATCGCCTCGGCTTGTACCTCAGATCTGTTCCTCTGGTCTATCAATGGGGACCTGTTGGCGCATCTGAATACTTCGGATTGTGCTCCGGCCCAAGATACGAATCAGATGATCGTGACGTTGGCGTTTAGCACGGTAGGCGAGAGAGAGAAAGAAAAAGCGAGAGAGAGCGAGTAATCACCTAGATGTTGAAAAGTCAAAGTTACTTTCGATTTTTTTAGCTAAACGAATGGGATACCGATAACGTCATCATGGCCGGAACAGCCGACGGTGTCGTCAAAATCTTCTCCAGCGCCATCGTGGAGAATGACGGATCCGTACCGCCGCCACAACAAGCTTTTACAACGCTTGAAAGGTAGGAGTGTTACATTTTGGGTTCTTGTTCGTTAGCTAGGGAGGTCGAGGCTGAGTCGTCCCCCTTTAACCAATCGATCCGATTTTTGACCATAACCCACTACCTAGTATCATCTACCAGTTTTGTATTTTTCAGAAAACACTGCCCGACACCGGCGGTTTCGGTAGCTGAACGACTTGAGAGGCAGCGAAGACGGCTTCGCGTCGTGGCGAGCTGCGAGACGACCGGAAGTAGCGGTCAAACCGATGGTAAGTCAGAGAAATCGAGGGAGAGAGAGGGAGAGAGAGAGAGAGAGAGAGAGGGCGAGAGAAAGGGAGAGAGAGCGAGAGGGAGAGCGAGCGAGAGAGATAGGGAGGGAGAGAGTGCAAGGCTCAGAAAGTGATAAGCGCCCTCTCAATCCCGAATCCGACTCTACAATGTGCTTTCAGAAAGCCACAGCCCTCCGCCAAGCCCGAACCCCAATGCCGAGAAGGAGCCCGACTTCGAGGAGGGCAGGTTTGTCATTCTAGGGGGGGCATTTTTCTATTTAATTCGATACCTTCATCTACTCAACAATTTCAGAAAAGACCCCCGGATGGCGGAAATCGCGCCCTGGGTTCGAGTGCTGGTGCAAAGAACATCGCTGACGATGCATACCGCCTTCTCGCGGCCCGACAATCTACGCCCCGCTCCCATTACCGTCATCATACCGGCAAAGTGCGTACTTTACACGTATTAACCGCCGCTAAAATCCTGAATGCTAAACCAATAGTTAATTAATGCTTTAGGGACCATAAATCGCTGCTGGTGGGCGATGGAGTTGGACGAGTGTGGCAGTGGGTGATCGGTGAAGAAGGGACCGGAAGTCGGGCCGATCACTGGGTCCAGGATGTCGCACGACAGCGCTGTACTCATTGTCACCACAAGTAGGGCCTATTTGAAAAAAAACTGTTCTTAAAATATTCTTTCGCGTATTCGGTTTTAAATCGTAAAGTACGCGTAATCGGTAGCTGTTGCTAAGCAGAAAAACTATAAACTTCCATTAAAAATACGCAAAAAATTTGGATTTTTTCGAACAAAACTGTCCGAGTTTCGGCCAAAATTTCTTTCCCTTTTCCTCTATAGAACTTGCAACAGCTAAGAATCTATAACCTAAGAAAGTAAAACTGTTCAAGAACTATGAAAATGGATAAAGCTGGCACTTAAAAGAAAACATTATTTTAGGTTTTCCATCGCCGACCGAAAGCACCACTGCCGGAATTGCGGGCAGATCTTTTGCGCTAAGTAGGTTTTCAAGGAATTATTGGGAACTATTACAATGCTCTAACGTTAGTATCATTGAAAAAAAAGTATGCAAAAACTCACTGCTTGCCAAAATATAGACTTTATCAACTATTTTTTGCGCCAAGAAAGCTACTAAGACTATATAACTAGAAAAAGTAATGCCTTAATTTATCTTGTTTTATTAACGTTAATATCATCTAGAAAGGTATAGCAACCATTTAGTTTTTAAAATCAATACCTTCAAACTGCTTTTTAGATGCTCGCGCTTCGAGTCCCACATCACGCACATGAAAATCTCGAGGCCAGTGCGCGTATGCCAGAATTGCTACCTTCGGCTGAAGGCGTCTTCTTAAAAATATATTTGTAAATATATCCCATGTTATTTATTTACCCGTTTCTTTCCATTTATTAATAGTATTATTATTATAATTATTACCGCCAAGACAAAGCCCACTTTCGCAGCTTTATTTATCTTTTTTTTGGGTTCTCGTGGTTTCTCGTTGTTGCTTTTCGTATTAAATTTTGCGATTTTTCCGTTTTTCTTTCCGCTCTTTCATTTGATTTCTCCTACCGCTTGTGCTACCAAAAACTAGGGTCCAATTGTCCAGTGTATCACCCCCATTTCTCGCCACGCATTCCACCTCTTTTTTGGGTCGAGATTTCACGCGCTACGCGTTTTTTAAACGTTAATTTTTCTTCTTGGTTGTGAAGCTAGCAAGACGTATATTTGTATTCTTTTTAACTTTTTCCCCTTTATTAATAGTAAGCATTATTGATTTAAACGTTACTTCCCCGCCCCCGTCTCATAATCATTTTTGTGATACGCATTTGCCACCCCAGAAAACAACAACAACACCTAGCGCATATTACCCAGAACGTCGATATCTCGCCTAGTCGGTAGATCTTCTAAAAAAATCGCTGTATTTCCTCCTCCAAAATCTTTTTCACTATGAGCTTCCCGAACCTTGACCAGCCATTTTTCATCACCCCTTTCCCAGCTATTTATTTTTCTAGGGATTTTTTCTGGCAATAATAAATCTTTTGCTATCAAAAGTTCTACGACGATCAAATACATGTAAAACTTTTAAAATACCTTTTAAATTGAGAAACGGCATTTTAAAACGGTTTTGCTAAGTACAGAATGATACTACTTACGAAAGCTAACCATTACGACGTGTAAAAAGCTGTGGAACGTAGCCCGCGGCGTTTGGAAAATTTTTCAAACAAAGTTTTTTTATAAACTCCAGAAAAGCTTTAAAAGTGCAAAATTTGTGAAAGTTAAACTTTTGATATGATCCGTGAGAAGAGCAGTAATAGTTGCAATGAAATTTTGGGCGGCAAAGACAAGTCTAGGACTGCTAGTGGTCCAAAAACCCGAAAAAGTTTTTAATGGCACAAAATTCCTTTCTCTTCCTTTACTTTTCGCTTGTGTCGTTTAATCGATATATTTTTTTGCAGAAAACGCCGGAAATACTCGATGAAAACATTATGCCATGGCCAGCGATGAGACCCATTCACAAGCATATCGGGAGGCCGTGCAAAAAGTCATAGTAAGAAAGAGTTATATACCTTTTTATTACTAAAATTTCCAGGCCCGGGCCCTAAATGGGGACGCGCTGCCCCAGATCGAGACGTTGCTCGTCCGCTCGATCAACCAGTTTTACAAGCGCATCCCACGGAATATCGAGAGTTTCAAGGTATGGAAATACGTAGAAAAACTGCCTGTTGTGTAATGAAAAAAAGTAATAAAGGCAATTATAACATTTTAGGGGCTTCTCCACTGCGTCGTCGAGTTATATCGAGTAAACCCTGGGCGCGCCGAGCAGCTGCTGGTGCCATTGGCTCAAATTTACGCTGCAGGATCTCCGTTTGAGCGAGCAAAAGTGCTAGAAGCGGTAGTTTTTCGCTTCTGAATTTAAACTATGGTTTTTAGGTCCGCACCTCCGAGCTGAACCTGTATTTGATATGGCGGTGGCTGGCGGAAGCGGATGCGGAATGCCAGGCGGCAAAAACCTCGCCCCCGGCGCGCGCTCTCTTCATGACGATACTTTACGGCGGGGATTTCATCAAGCAAAGATGTGAGTTTACAGCTTCGAAACAATAATAATTTAATTCAGCGATGGCGCCAGTCGTGCTGGGCATGGGTGCGAATGCACACTACAATCTGGGCATCGCCTCGACGGGGGAAGTGGTCAAGCCGCGGCTCGTTAACACAGATAATGATGTGGGTTTTAGGGCGGGAAAATTTATATTCTAGATTTTATCATTCTCTCATTGTCCTAAACATGGAAATTGGCAAATTTATTAAAATCAAAGCGTTCTGGCTTTTAACGCTCTTGGACGTTAAAAGTCTTCAAAATTACTCAGAAAACGAAAATATCGATTTTTCCATAAAAATTTGCAATTTTTAGGCATTTTCCTATGTTTTCCCGGTAGTTTTTCCGTTGAAATTAGACAAGTTTTATCAAAAACCAACTAAAATCTTTGCTATCACATGACTAGGTATATTTGGGCATAATGAAAAAAATATCATGTTTTTAGATAATCAAAGCCTCGCTCTCCACATCACATTCCCTCCTACTCGCCGCCGATGGCTTCACGTACGCGATGGGAAGATGTGAATCCAACCGCGCCGGCCTCCCCCATCACGAATTCGCGGCCAGCCCTCAATTGGTGCCGCTGCCAAAGGTATTATCATTTTTAGCGTTTATCCTCGATTGTTTTAGGGCACCAACGTTGTCGATATTGCCGCCGGGGAGGGCTATTCGCTATTTCTGACACGAAAATCGGTTTGTTAAGTTTTTAGGCTTTAAAACCTTACTTTTCAGTTGTTCGGCTGCGGGTCTAACAAAAAAGGACACTTGGGCATCGGTAAAGAGGTGAATTCAGTGCCTTTACAGCGGTTAAACTTACCGCCATTGCGCGAATTGACGCTTGACGAGGTAAAAACGCACAGGATAACTTTTAAAATGGCTTAGGTTGTGGCTGAAGACAATTTCACGCTCGTCACAACGTCCATGGTCGGCCAGTACTACCTGTCGGGGACGAGCTTTGGCAACAAAGGCATCACCAAGACGTTCAGTTTGTATGAAGGCAAGTATTTCGCTGAAGCAGCAAAATCGAGGCCAGACGATTTCCAAAAGCCGAATGTTTTTCCATTAGAAAAAACGGTTTTTGCAAAATCGGTGGGGGTTATCCATTTTTTTCCCCTTTCGTTTTGAAATCGCTAATTTTCAAAGAAAATTTAAATATTTGTCGCACGACCAAATTTACTTTTGAGATCCGATAAATTTGGGTAAAAAAAATTTATTAATCTCTGTAGGGAACTGCATTTTGCGCGTACCTCCTACCAAACCGAAAAAAGATAGTGCTACCTCCTGAAAAGAGACCTAACCTTGGAGGGTGTGGTCCCCGCCCGGCCATCGCCCAGCCCCTCAGCCAGCCCGCATCGATCGGGGCGGCTGGCTGAAAACGGGCTCTCGACGCCCTGCCGTCATGGGGGGTATAGCTCAGGGGTAGAGCGCCCGCTTCGCATGCGGGAAGTCTGGGGTTCAATTCCCCATACCTCCAACACTTTTTGCTTTTTCGGCGGGAGAGCCGTGAGGTTAAGCGTTGGTGCTTGGTTTTTATCGGTTTTGATTTGGACCTGTTGGAAACGAGATGAAACGTGATTTAGTGTCGTAAGCGGATCGGATGTAATTAGCAAAAAAAAACGAAATCCAAAAGAAATCAATTTAAAAAATCCGGTTCATTATTTGGCTGGGGTGGAAACGAAATGCGCGTATTTAAACCCCCGAAACCGCTAAGGAAAAGTTATTAGGAAATACTAAGATTTAAAAATGATTTCCGTCATTTATGGACGTTGACGACAAAAACCAAATCGACAATAGTTTTAGCATCATATTTATTTACACATCGGAGCGGTTAATAAAAGTTTATAAGACATAATTAAAAGGTATAGCGAAAAATTGTGAATATTTATCGCTAAAAATCCGATTTTTCCAGATTACGACCCGGAATGGGATGATATTTCGACACCATGTGACGCAAAACTCATCCCCTGCCCCAGGATATCCGCCAAGCCCCATTGCGGCATCGTCACCGGCCAATTGCTGAACTTGAAATTTGGAAAAGAGGAATATACAGTAATACACGATTCCCGAGCGTAAATTGTACACTTTCTTTCAGGTGCGCTTCATCCTCTTCAACAAGCGCATCCACTACCGCTTCGCCCTATCCCACTTCATCGGCGAGGTCATCTACGCGGTCGACGGGACTTTGTTTGGATTTGGTAATTTACAAATATCGCTGAATACCTTAATTTGGACGTCGCCGAATTTTTCGTCGACCGGAAGGGAGCCATCTTTTTGAGGGGCTCGTTGGATGTTGGGACCGGGCGGAAGGTGGAGCGTTTCGGAAACATGGGGAATACGAGTTTTAGGTCCATTCCATCTACCGTGGTCGGGTGGCAATCTGGCCAAAGTCGGACACTCTGTTCGAGGCGGCCAAGTCGTCGCACAAGCGAAATGAGCGCGACATGAGCTACTTGGCTGTGGTGTTTTTGTTAGAGGTATAAAAAGCTTACTGTTTGTATGCGTAAATGGCGGTTTTTGTTTAGATTCTAGTTTAAAAAATTGAATGTTGGTTGAATTTGGTTTTTATTTTTAAAAATTAATTTCGGAGGACAACCCTGAAAATCCACATTTTGTCTGGAGAAATCTGGACTTTGAAAATATTTTCGATTTCGTATTAACTTGGAAATTTCCAATTAGCGATTTGCAAAACCTATATTTTTCTACGCAAAGTGGTACTTGAAGATTGAAGGCGACTTCAGCTTCCGCTTACCTGGGAAAAAGGAAACCGATTCGAGCTACATAAAAGCGTTGTTTTTTTTGGAGAAAGAGGAATTTGAACGACGTTTCAGCTTCTAGAAAACGGTGAATTCGATTGAGAAAAATCGACAGAACTGGAAAACCTACCAGCTATATAAAACGACCTGGAACCTGTTTTTTTAGGCAATCCCCAACACGGCTTACGCACACTCGCTCGGCATCTCGCCTGACGGCCTCAACGCCCTGTTCGTCATCGGCGCCAGGGAAGAGCTTGAGAAGACGAAGCCGAGAAGCTGGGCCAGCCAAAGCCTCATCGCGAACCCGATCAAGGACGTGCCGTTTGATGCAAAGGTACAAAAATCTACGATACTGATCCTCGAAAATTCAGATTTGCCTCGGCGGCCGCTCTTGGCCGATCATGTCTTCGGTGTTGGCCCTCCGCGTCCCCAACGCCCACCAATTCATGAAGGGCAAGAATTTGCATGTCGAAGAGGTAATTTTAATTATTTTAATTATGGAAAGTTTTTTGTGATTCTTAAATTATTGAATTTGATTATTGTTGTTATCAATATTTAACACAGCTTGACTTTCAACTAATGAAATTACGTCAATAGGTGCTCGCCGGATTCCCTGTCGTCTCCAAGCGGGCCGACTGGCGCATCGAGTTCTGTGAGATGATCGTGCAGTACGTGAAGGAGGGATTCGTCATTTGGAATGCGGACAGTAAGTAATAAAGGATTGATTTTTTTGAATGGAGTTAGTTCAAATTATAAAAATAATTTTAAATGTTGGATGAAAATTACTTTTGGCGCAAAATTATTCATTTTTTAGTCTGGGAGCAAGAGTCCGACGCCTACGACTTCATCAAGCGGGCGCTGGCCGTCGTCGGGTTGAAGGCCATTGGCTACGAGCCAAGTTCGGGGCGATGGCGACGCGCACTTGTTTCTAGGTAAAAGACGGAATCGGCTTTATTTTTACCGTATTTTCAGCGGCGGCACTTCCGGTTCGACGCAGTCCAACTGTACGCTCGTTTGCGTCGACCCGGACGAGAAGACGGGTGAAATTTCGGCCAATCGGTGGGTTTGATTAAATTTTTTGATGGTTATTAATTTAGGCAACTCCTCGAAATCTACTCTCACTACTTTGTGCTGGCCGGGCGCCACGAGGGGAAGGATCGTTTTGTCGTGCGGGAAAGCCGGGATATTGTCTCGAAAATTCTGGAGGCCATGGCCAGCCCCGACAGTTTGGTCTGTCGCACCAAGGAAGAGGTGTGCAATTAAAACATCAAAAAATTTTTTAAATATCGATTTTCGGCTATAAATGGCCAATTTCCGAAAAACTTCAAATTTTTCGACGTTTTCTAAGCATTTTGAGTTGTTTTACTTGCATCTACATTTTTATAAATAGCCTTAAAATAGTTTCGATTACGAAAAACGACATTTTTTAGCTTTGCCGCATGCTACTCTTCTGCGACAGCTACCTGATGGAGAATCTGATTGACGACATCGTGCAGGCCTATTTTGTTGATGGTAGATTAACTTTAACGAATATGAATTTGTTTTAGCCACACCGAGCTGTATCCAGGACATTTCGAACCTCTACAATTGGTCGGTAATCGCGCAGGACGCCATCGTCCGTGAATTCGTTGCTCGTCCGGATCTTGTGTTCCTCTACTCGAAGTCGGCGTCGCTTGGGGATGAGCTGGCGAAGAGGTACAGCGAATTTTAGAAGCTTCTATTTGGATTTTTCTTTCAGAATTTGCACGGCCATCGAACAGAAGCATTCACGGAAGAACCAGGTGACCGTCAACAACCCCCTGATGGTCGGCCAGGCCATCTGGAACTCGACGTCGGATCGCGATTGGGGAAATGTAAATTTTAGGCAGTTTTATTAAAAATCAAAATGAAAAGATATAAAAATACTAACAAAAAATAAATGGCAAATTTAAACCGATTTTTTTAGGTAGATGAGGAACGGCTGATTTTCCAATCTCTCTCGCTGGACCATTTTGCCGATTACATGCTGGGCAGCGGGCCCAGGGACAAGGAGATGAACTATTTAAAGGTTTGTAAGCTTCTTCGATTATTAACGCTCCATTTAGACGTATCTAACCAGCGCCCGTGGCTTCAGCGCTAATGAGGGGTAAATTTCTATAGTTTTACAAGCAATAATCTTTTCAGTACCTCATCGGTCATAACACCGCTCGATCGCGAGGAATTCGACTGGATGGAAGCCGTGGTCGACAGTTTGAAGGGATACGGGCCGGAAGAGGTAATTGAATAGTGGGGCTTTTGCATTATCGGGGGAGCCTATTTTTTGGGGAATCCTACTATATATAAAAAATAGTGTCTGTGTGTGTGTGCATTTGCATGCAACTTCCGTGAGGATGCTCCGCACCTACAGCCTCAGGGAAGCATTTTTTCGCTTGGGCAGAAACGTCATTAGGTAAAGAAGGGTCCGGAATCGACTGCACGCACATAAAATCTTTGAAAAATTACTATTTTCGCTATTAAAAACAAATTTTTATAAAATTCTCGCCCACCCTCTTTGTTAGGGATCAATTAGCATAAGCCGGAAGTCGGATAGCCTATATAAAGCGACAGAGGAGCCGTTATTCACTTTTTTTTCCTGATAGATTTTAGGGAAGAAACATGCAAATTGAAGACTTTCATCGGTCCTAGACGGGGCCAGGGTTGAAAAGCCGCGAAGCGGTTTTTCAACCCTGGTCTCTTTTTAAAATAAACGCAGGGAGTTTTTCTAAATCGGGTTGGCTTTTTTAGCGAAAAACTACAAATTTGATGACAAAATAGAAATAGAGTTGTTTTTCGACCAGAATTGAAAATTTTAAACTATATTTAGATAGTTTGTGCGTTTGAAAAGTAGTTGAATTTTGCGAAGGAACTATTGAAAGATTTTACGTTGTTAGGCATTTCTGACCTTATAGGAAAAATTAGGTTTTGTCCTCCCCCAGCCGATAATGCAAAAGAACCTAAATAGCACAGTAATAAAAAAACTATGAACACGAACTTTCGCTTAGGTCGAAAATATCTCCCTCAACCAGCGGCGGCGCAGAAGGCGGACCGACACCGAGAGAAAGACGGTATCACATTTCCAAGAAATCCAATTTTTTTCCTAGATCAACAGCATTTCGGAGGAGCCGCAAGATGAGCTGGTGGTTGCGACGGAAAAGTTGAGGCTGGCTTCAACTCCCGAAGCCCCCCAAAATTCAGCCGCTTCTCCACCGGTTACGGTATCTAGAATAGCGTTTTAGCAATATTTGTTTAGATTTCCACTCCACGACTACCAACGGAGAGCCCGGCGGCGTCTCCATCAAGTTCACGGCTCGACGAGCTGTTTCCGACCCTGGGATCGGTAAGTATTAACGTATTTTTAGACCATTTCTATATTTTAGACCCCATCCCCGGCCCCTAAACATGGCAAGAAGATGAACATGGGCTCCGCGTCGTCTTTTCGACGATTTCCGGAACCGGTGGTCAGGAATCCAGTGGACAGTGTGGCCCCTTGGTAAGCCGGATTTTTCCTCCCTATCTGTATACGTTTAGGGCGCACGTAAGCACCCCTGCCGCTCCGGTCGACTTCCCACAACTTGGCTCTACCCCACCCGGATCATCGAAAAGCTCTTCAAGACGCACACCCGGCCAGCGTACGCCTGCTTCAACGAGCCAACGAATAAGGAAAGAGAGCTGGACGGTACTCTCATTTTGGTAACCGTAATTTTTTTTAATTTAAGGAATTCCCAAGCCCAGCGACTGCCTCGAGCCCGGGCTCCTCGCTAACGGCCATCATGCAAGAGGAGAAGCAGCTTCAAGAGGCCCGCCATCGACGGACCCATCGGCCACTCGCTTTTGTGGATGTTCGTTTTTTTCTGGCGCAAAATCCTCAGTTCTTTCGTGTTATCGGGGGGGAGGGTTCATTTAGGCCCAGATATGCCTAGTAATGCAATAGAAAATGTTTTGATTGTGTTTTTGGTCAAATTTAGCTAGTTTTCGAGGCGAAAAACTCGCTTGAAAACATAGAGAATCTTTAAAAAATTTAAATTCGTTCCAAAATCGGTGTTTTTGGTGGAAAAATAAGCGTTTTTTTGCAGTTTTCGAAAACATTGAAAAGTTTTGGCGTTAGGGAAGCAAAAGCATCGCGAAACAACCCACAACAACAAAGAAGAAACACTAAAATCACAAAAAAACACCAATAAATACTAAAGAATCTTCGAAAATGACTAAGCAAGAAATCCCCCTTCTTTTTAGATGGAAGAACAAGCAATCGCCGAACTCCACGAGCTCTATCGACAAGAATACGGCGATGAGGTATTTTGTCTCGCAATAGAATTCACGTTTTTAGGTCCTTATCGACGTTTGCCGCGTTGACCCCGACACCGCGGACCCGGTCTGGAATCGACCCAAATAACCGCCCTCTTAGCATTGTTTTCTAGTGTTTTGTAGTCGCTAGATTCGGTGAAAAGTGCCTCCGTTTCATTGTGATATGTTTATGATTCGTATTCCTCTCGTCGTAAGGGTAATTATGTGTTTATATTTTCGGGTTGTAAGATGGTTATAAACTGTTGTTGTGTATTTTTACTCGCGGAATAAAGCTTTAAGTTTTGAAAGAAAGTTTTAGATAATTGTTTTTGCATTCGGAATTAAAATCCGTTCTATACTGTGCATTTATGTGCTGGCATGAGCTAGCTTAAGCGTTGCTGGTTTTTGATCATTCATCATTTTGAGTTTCAGTTTTCTAAAACTATTTTGCAACTTATCTCGCATCTACTGGCGTTCGCTTGACGTGAACTTACGTCAGGTGTCTATTCAGTCTCTATGCATTTATATATTATAGGTTTGGATAATTATTATTTCCATCTTTTCAGAACAAACTTTCGAATGGCGGACGCTGAGGGATTCGTGCAGCTGTGTGAGGGGCTGCAAAAGAAGATCATCGAAGAAGGCCAAGGCACCGCCAGCCCGTTCATCGGCTCAACCGTCCACGTGCACTACACGGGTCGCCTCGAGAACGGCGATGTCTTCGACTCGAGCCGCACGAAGGACCCGTTTCAATTCAACCTCGGCCGCGAGCAGGTCATCAAGGGATGGGATATCGGCGTGGCCACGATGAAGAAGGGCGAACGCTGCGAGCTGCTGATCGCGCCCGAGTTGGGCTATGGCCCGAGCGGCAACCCGCCAAAAATCCCCCCGGGCGCCATCCTCACCTTCGACGTCGAGCTGCTCCGATGGGAGTCCGAGGACATTGGACCGGGCAAGGATGGATCGATCCTACGCGACACACTGGTCAAGGGCGTGGAGCTGGAAAACCCGAGTGAGGGCAGCCAAGTCCAAGGTTTTTATCCTTTTTGTGGTTTCTTATTATTTTTTTTTAGCCCACATCGTCGGTGAGCACGAGGGCCGCCATTTCTACGACCGGGATGTCATCTTCATCGTCGGCGAGGCATCGGAGGTATTTTTTTTTTAAATTACCGTTATTTTTCAAACCTGCTTTGATGATTTTATCTTTGGTTTTTCAGGCCGGGCTTCCTGATGGCCTGGACACCGCCATCCAGCGGATGTGCCGGGGCGAGAAGTCGATCATCCACCTCAAGGGCACCCGTCAAACTTATGGAGCGAGCCCGCCGATCGAATACCAACTGCCACCCAACGCTCCAGTGTCCTTCACGATCTTTCTCAAGGAGTACAAAAAGGTACGGTTTACACTTGTTTCTTACTTTTTTTGCGGCTTTACAAAGTATTTATTTTTCAGGTTACGGCGCACTGGCAGCTGTCTGACGACGAGAAGATCAAGGCGGCCGAGGAGGCGAAAGAGCGCGGCAACGACTTCCTGAAGCAAGGCAAGCTGAAGTTGGCCCTGAAGAAGTACCAGCGCATCGAAGAGCTGCTCGAGCACCGGTACTCGAAGGACGCGCCCAGCGAGAAGCGAGATGCCCTGATGGTGGCCGCTTATTTGAACATGGCCCTCGCCTACTCGCAGCTCAACGAGGAGGTCGAGACGGTGGCCGCTTGCGACAAGGCGCTCAAGATGGACCCGAAGAACGTGAAGGCACTCTACCGCAAGGGCTGCGCCAAGCTCTCGTTCGCCGACTTCGACGAGGCCGTGGCCATCTTCACGGAGATCAGGCACATCGAGCCAAACAACAAGGCCGCCCAGCAGCAGATTCTCCTGTGCAAGCAAAGGAGCAAGGAATTCGAGCAGAGCGAGCGACGTCGGTACAAGCGCCTCTTCGCCAAGAAATCTGAAGCGGAACCCGCGCAGGAGAGCACTTCGAAGGAAATCGACGCCGACGACCCGCAGCCATGCACCTCCGCCGAGCACGAAGCCTAACCGTCATTCCCCATTTCGGGTATATTCTCCCTCCGATGTATCTCTCTCCTTTCTGTTGTCTTATTGTGCTCGATGATATTTTTATGATTTTACGCGGGGTTTATAAAAGTTTTCGCTGCAACTCAGCCTTTAATAAAAATGCGCACGAGTCAGGCCTGGCCCTGGGCTTGGGAAGGGGGGGGGGGGGGTTCAACAAATGCAGCGGCGAGAGAAGGCGCCCACGGCACAACCGCCCATGGGTTCGGTCCAGATGGTTCAAGGGAAAGGGCGTACTGTGCGTGTTTTTCGCGCGTTGCGTGCGGGTGCGCGGAATAGCAACCGGTTTTTAGCTGCGCAGGCCTGCTTTCGCAATTGCGCGACGCGTCTATCGCACGCGTTGCGGTCTTCCCGTGTTTCCAAAGCTACCGGATGTTTTACTAGGAGCCGGGCCGCTGTGAGGGGAGCGGCGCAAGAACATTTTCTTTCCCGCACGTAATCGATTGCAGGATGCCGCCCCATCCCTTTAAGATCAGGCTGGTTGTGGTAGCTAACATCTGCCGAGGTGTGACCAATTCGATATTCCCGCGTAATTGTTACAACGAGGTCATTCATTCCGAAACCTTCACCAAAACCAAAGCCCTACCCCCTTTTTTTTAGCGGCCGGCAGTCGCGTCTGATTTCCACGATTTGGGCAATTGCGTCTTTTTATGGCTAAAACCGTGAAAATAGCTTATTATTCGACAACCGCTTATTGATCGTGATTTGAATCAGAAAAACGCACGTTTTTGCACAACTTTGAATATCAGGAAAGTGCTAAACAACTTTAAAAACGCATCCCGCTTTTTTTCTTGTTATTTCAAGCGTTTTCGCATGATGAAAAACGATTCTATACTTGCTTGCTTGCCCCATACCGCCAGAGGGGGTTATTTTTTGAGACAGCCGCTTACCGCGTTTTACAGATTCTTCGTACTGGAATCATCAATGGTAAATCTTAGCTCTCTCTCTCTCTCTCTCTCTCTCTCTCTCTCTCACTCTCTCACTCTCTTTCCCTCCCTCTCTCATTCTAGATAATTTCGTCATCTCGCTCTTTCCCGATGATTCGCATTCAGGCAAATGAAGAGCCGGCATATGACAAAACGGTCTCCCATCAACTTTCGCCACTTACCCATTTCACTACAAGAAGCTGTTTATTCGCAGCTGGGTTTTCGGTCAAGGGCTCGTCTACACCAAGCTAGTCGTGTAGGTTTTAAGTCAACTTTCCCGTGCGATTTACGCGGGGAGCCATTTCTAGGCGCTCTCCTTGTTCCCACGCCGCAATTGCTGCATGTAAAACCATTTGCACAGAGTTTCCGTAAGCAAAAATCGTTTAGTCACTATCGTATTCGTTGCCGCTCAATCGTCGGTATTGGCCGACGAACCATCGCGTCAGTGATGTGATGTTCACTATCGGTAAACTGTGTGTGCCGTTCGCTGAGGTATCTGACGTTTGATAAGGTTTTGTCGCTTTGTTCCCTTGTGGCCTCATTTGCGCTTTAATTGCAAGGGTGAGGCTTCTCAAAAACATCAGAAACAACGTTCAAGACGCATCGCAGGTCTGGAACGGTGCAATCCCGACTGTTTCTCTCTATGTAGGCCTGGATGATATCAGTTCGGCCCAGGTCATTGATAACCAAAACCTTTAACCAAAATTGACAGAAGCTCCCGCAAACGTGAGAGACTACAGGGTGTCCCAAAAAAACCCCCCCTCGGCATTTGGTCGTCTTCCATCCAATCGGGACCAAATTTTTACCAGTGATGGGAACCCATAAAAACTATGTGCAGCCGAATTTTCTAAGCAAAATATTGTAAAATAAAGAAGATATATCAAAAGTAAGGTTTATTTTGCCGATTTCACTAGAATTTTGACGGATTTCGGCCTCGAAGTGTTTAGCAAAAATGAAGAGGGCACTCTTTTCTACCTGTGGAAATCTTTTGATTTACGAAAATTACGTTTAAATTGGGCCTTTTGATCACTTTTTATTATCGAAATTTCCAGAAACTGGCCGTAAAATGACCATTTTTGGAAAATTACTCAAAATCCGCATGCTAATTGCTAAAACATAGCCAAAAACGAGTACCAGCGTTTTCCAGAAATCAGTTTTTTAGCGATAACTTTTTGGTTTTACAATATTTGCTTAGAAAATGTGGCTGCACATAGTTTTTATGGGTCCCCATCACTGGTAAAAATTTGGCCCCGATCCGATAGAAGACGGCCAAATGCCGGGGGGGGTTTGGGACACCCTGTATATAAAAAAAATATTTAATATGTTTCAGAAGATCATTGTATACTGCCGGACACGATGCGGCGAGATGAAATTCAAATATGAAGCAGGGAATTTTTTGTTATCCCATAACCGATATGCGATTCATACACATAGCTTACCATGGAACAAGCGGTATGTTTGATAACCATTTGTTGAAAATGTTCGGTATCCCCGTTCGCCGGTAGAGAGCGCTGGATACTTTCATACTTTCAAAAACGTTCTAGGGTTTTCCGTGTGATTGCTAGGTTGCGTTGTTTTAAAGGGCCCCTGTCGATCAGATGCGATTGCCATTAGGCAGATCGCCAATTTGTGACGCTAGGGAAAGTAACGGGCGAGGGAGTGTGCTTGCCGGTGGACGTTTTCGAGTAAAATTCCAGTTTCGAGCAGAATCATGCCTATCTTGTGCAGAACGTGCTACAGTAGCGGTCAAAAAGTTATCGGCTTGGGAAATCGCCTGTATCTCGAAGGACGTAGCTCCGAATTTCCAGATTTTATTTTTATATCTGACCAGCGCCGACCCCCCGCTACGCGGGGGTTCAGCGCTGGCCCTCCTCCCCCAGAAATTTGAATTGTGAATTTGAATGCAAAATTTGGCTGAATTCGTGTACGGACGGGCCGGACATTAGAAATTTATATATAGTAGATAGTTGTTTGTATTCCAATTTGATACCAGATGAATTCTTTAGCGGGCAATTCGATGGCAGTATCGACATCCAACAAAAGTTTTGTTTTTTTGTTTTTTTTCGACCCCCGGCCGCGGCACAAATGTTTGCTTTCTTGCCCAAAAACCTCCCTGAACGTGCACTTTAAATTTGTATTTTAGCAAAATTCTCAGAAATAGTATTGCTTCTGTAGCATTTGCGGATTTCAAAAATATGACCATCTTGTTCGGGCGGCGCGAAAACCCCTTTTTTGATGTTCTGGTGATTTTTGCTACTAGCAATCAAAATGGCGCCGTGACGGTCCCGCGTCGCCGTCCGGACGGGGACGGACGGGGACGGGACGCAAAATGAACAACCCTGGTCGCAATTAAACCTGCGTGACATTTGCAGTCTCGTTGGCGATGCGCTCGAGCTGACGATCCAGAATTGCGACAACGAGAAAGCTTTAACGATACTAAATAAGTTATTCGGGGGAATGACACCAAACGCTGTCGGTTTGTTCATCTGCCCACTGGCTTCCAAAATAGTAAGTGCTAACTTTACTTTAAAGTTTAGGAAAACTCTCATTTTCAGAAGCTGCGATTCCCGCTTCGAAAGCTTTCACTACTCCAACATCCTTACTCGATTCTCTTAAAGTCGTGTCCGCGCGTAGCGATGGTACAGCTCGACTGGCTGCGGAGAAACGCATTTCCCCTTGACGTTGTGGTAAGCTTAAGCGCCTTAAAAGTGTATTATTCTTTCACTATCAAAGGCCTGATGTGAGAGTGTACATAGTAGGATTTTCCACCATAAACCTCTATAAAAATCGTCTCGGAAGAAATTTGCAAAAAATGAGATGCTTGGGAAAAAGCTCGCCTCCGATCCAGGATTGTTTTTGCCAAAGGTAGAAAAAATTGGGAGTTGTAGGGGGGGGGGGATGGGCTCAAGGGCGGGCTTGGACCCGATAGTATCGCGACGTATCGCTATCGGTATCTTGTCGGTTTCGCTATGCAAATTGTGATACCGATACCAATAGCGCCGGGGACAAAGCTGCTCCAAAGTGTATTTGCAAGTGTATTTGTCCGGGTTTTTCGGTGGTTTACCAACTCTACGGATAAGTGTGAGTTTGCAGGCGCTCATCCCCACCATAACCTGTCATCTCGATCGTCATCTATGGAAAACGGAACAGCAAACGCTCTGGTACCAGGTAGCACCATTTGTACAGTGCAAAATAAAAAAGCTAATAAGTGCTTAGCAAAAATAGGGATCAGACAGAGTCGATGACGGAAATTCGGAATCTCTGGTCAGAATTTGCGCAACGTTAAATACAAAAAAGTTACCAGCGTTTAAAGCTTTGCATCAAATTTGAGCTCTCCCTTACTAGGGAATGGTTTCGGGCGGACATCGGACCTAGTTATGTGAGTATGTGCACCTTGTAGATCTCGACGAGACGAATCGATTGATGTAATTTTTAGCTGCCAACGCCTTTAAATAGAAAAGTTACAACGATTTAAAGTTGTCTGGCATGCCTTCATAAGCCCACCCGCAACCCAGTCGCCATGGTCTGGTGGCCTAGTGGTGTGTGTGGTCGGCGTCTGGGGAATCTAACGAGGGTTCGAACCCGCTCACGATTTTTATTTTTTGCTTTTTTGTCCGTAGGTTCCTCATTGCTGTCTGAAGGCCGTGAAAAACTTTTTGTGCATGAGTTATACACCAATGCTAGTTTTCGAAATTTTCGAATTTTTTTCAAAATATCTGTAACGGTTCGGTGAGGGTCACTAAGATTGTAATTTCAGTCCGAAATAAACGAAAATCAATGCGCAATCCCGCGCAAAAACGCCTTTTACCGTAAGTACTGCAACGGAGTATATTTTTAGCTCGAGGACTTCTCTTTCCTGCTCGTCCAAATCCTCGGAATCGGCCGATACCTCCTGGACGTTCTTTGGACAGCAGAAAATCTTACGCGTTGGGCGGGAAAGGTTCTTATTTTATTGCCTACGACAATTTTTCGATTTGGTTGGCTATGGATTTTTCGAGACGCAGCACGCCGCCGTAAATATGATAATTCACACAGGGTTGAAATGCCGCTGGAAAACCAAGCAAAGATCCCGTTGATGCACACGATAGACGCCAATTTGCAGATTTCTTCGCGACTTCCCGCTCGAAAAAAAGATAGAAAAAACACTACAAACCCCCCGTTTAGTGGCTTTACGTGAGCAGGGACGTAGCGTAATACAGGCCCCGGGGGCCCGGGCCCCCGAAATCGGCCGGGGCCCGAAAATTTCATAAGGGGGGACCCTTATGATTTTGATTTTCTCAAAAATTTTGCTGTCTGCGGCGCTATTTATGCACGTTTTTACGGCTATTTGTAGAGCTATGTAACCTTTTTTCAAAAATTTTCGCCTGCGGCGCTGTTTTTTCGGCAGTGCTTGGGGTTTTTTGGAAAAATTTTTTGGGGCCCCCCCGAAATTTTTTTCTGGCTACGCCCCTGTACGTGAGCAACACTCACTCCTAATAAGCAGTGTTCTACATAATCTTAGGTCCGCCTACTCCAAAAATTGCGAGTTGAAATTTTTTCGAATTTTGGCAAAAGAGAATGATACCATAGTGACTGATGACTATTTGAAGATGAATATTTGCAGAAAGATCTCTGAGACGGTTAAAAAATTCTCGGCGCTAATGCACTGGGGGGGGGTACCTAGGCGTAGCTTCATATAAACGAAGCCTCAGCTAACAAGGGAAGGGCAAGTGCACGAAGTGGAAATTCGAAAAACGCTCGCGGCTACCCCTAGGTTTTCGACTACGGCGATTCCGATGCGCTATTCAGAATTAGCCATCGAGGTCTGTAAACCGAGATACAGCACTTCCGGAAAAGCGTAATTTGCATGTGCATAATTAGAAAGCTACTAAGGGTTTATTAGGATCTTCCACGTATCTACCATCGCTGTGAATTGGTCGAGTGCCAGGCCACTCGCTTTTGAAATACCAACGGGGTTCGGATCCGCCCTGATTTTTTTTGTTTTGCTGTGTGAGGCCTAGTAATGCAGGTTATAGCCCCCGTTTTCCCCATGGTTGAAAGCAAATTCTATTCAAGTTCCGAGGTCCAACCCAAAAATTACAGAAGAAGACATCGAAATCCCCGCACCAGCTATCGCATTTTCGAATTGACTTCCAAAACAAAAATGAGATTGGATCCGAACTCCCGTTGGTATTTCAAGAACCGAAGAAGTGTTCGAAGAACCAAATTTATTGCAGCACCCGCCACTTCCGAATGGTCGAGAAAGAACGATGATCATAATGTACAACCATCTACTTGGCAGAAAGAGGGGACGCACCTTGCTTAAACGGGTATGTATTAAAGAGGAGATGTCGTTCTCGGAAAAAGGTTTACCAAATGCAACTTTCAGGACGTAGAGGAACTGCGCTGTTTTCTCCAGCGCCATTTGCCCGATCCATTGCCGGGAATCGAATGTAAACTGTCTGTGAAATTACGCGGCACCCGCAAGGCCTGGGTTTCGCTAGTCATACGCCAGAATTGCACTAGGCCTCTCACGGCTGATGAGCGATTAACCCGACGCTTCCCGACCGGCTTCGACATGACCTGGGCTGGCAAATGGAATTAAACTATTAGGATCAAATCTGATTTTACGCGCAGTTGTCATAAATTTTTTTGGCTATCATTCGAGCAGTTGGTTCCGGTCACGAATGCTCTCCGTCGCGTTACGAATTTCCCTAACATGGAGTCGTTGTTGGTGATAATGAGGGTTTCGAAGTAGGACTAACAAGGATACGTTTTTCGGTGGGGAAGTTCTGAGTGATATATATGACAGGAATATTCAAGTGTGTTCTGCCATATATTTATAAACCGTAATGCAACCACGCTTAAGAAGCACCCTGCAAAGCTCTTTAAATACACCTTGGAAATGCCGAAAACAAGATGATGGTGAGGCAATAAAGCAAAATAAACAGCAGCCAAATAAAGGAAGTGAGTAATAAGAGCAGAATGGTGGGGACAAGTTGCTATTGGTCAGTGTTTGAGCCGAGGAGCGCTTGTGCCTTTTCGAGGGCTTCCGGTTGACGCCTCTGGATGGCTTCTTTCACCCTCGAGTTGTTCAACATGGCGACCATCAGCTAGCGGTGGGTCATCTAAAAAGACTTAGCGTTAATTTTGGAGGCTAAAAAACCTCAGGCATGGCCTCGCCGGACTGCGAGCTGTTCGAGGATATGCCGTAGTCCGACTCGGAGTCCTGAAAATAACTTTTAAAAGATAAAAAAAGAAAAATACCCGTCGCAAATCACGCTTTGATCCGGGCACCCACACCGGAATCGGCAGCGCAGCGACGGTGGATTTGGTGCTGGATAATTTTTGGTGCTGGTTTATTAGCGGGAGGGTTCTATACCGGTAACGGGGTCCTTAAAAAAAATAAGGGTCCTTAAAAAAAATAAGGGTCCTTAAAAAAATAAGGGTCCTTAAAAAAATAAGGGTCCTTAACAAAAATAAGGGTCCTTAGAATTTCAAGTTAAGGACCCCTGTCCTTAAAATGGATGCTATTTTTAAGGACCCCGATTCCGGCAACTCCCGAAAATACAGTATTTTCGCCGTTTTCGCGGAGACGCGGATTCGCGACAGATTGTCCTTTGTTTCGCCCAGTTTGTGCCTAAAAATAAGGCTTCGTGCCACCCGGGGCCTAGTCGCTTCGGATGGGTGCGAGCTCGTACAGGGTTTCGAAATGGGGGCGCCAAGGCCGGCGAAGCGGCCGGGGCGCCCCTATTTCGAAAGAGTGGAGCGGCAGCCCATCCGAAGCGACGGCCCACCTTGCCTGACACGCCATAAGCGTCAAATTGTCCCTGGCTAAAAAACCTAACACGTCGGGTTGCGTTAGTGATCGGGCCGTGGGAAAACACAATAAAAATCGACTATAACTTGATTTCAAACGATTTCTTGACTAAGGAAATTAGGGGTTTGGTCGCCTTTTCAAGCCCCGGTCCCCCGATAACGATCCAGCATCCAAATTTCTATGTAGTAGACTACGTAACTTACCATCGCAGTAGCCCTTCGTAGGCGTAGTCGGGCTTGAAGCCTGGATCGTTGCGCAGCCCGTCAAGCACTTCTTCTTCGATCAGGACGCGGCCCACGATCGTCGACCAGACGGCCGTCCGCGTCCAGCCGGCCACCCGCTGTTGCTCAACGGTGGGGAGCACAAGGGTCGATTTCATCTAAAAAGGCCGAGTTCCAAAAACGCGCCAAAACAGTAAGCATGCAAACGACAAGAAAAAGCTGTGAAAAACTCACACAAAAGTCTTCGCCGCGAAATGTGAATTCCCAGATAAACGGAGCGGGGGTGATGTTCATGGCGACGCTATCCCTAAAAAAATAAAAAATAAGTAAAATAAGATAAAAATATGTTCGCAACGACTGTGCTCAGACTTGCGTCAGAACGTAAAAATATAACAAGTCAAACGTACCTCGTTATAAAGCGAACCCATTTGTAGCGCAGATTGTGCAAGCCGAATTGGTGGCCGTTGGCAATCGGGTAGATTCCGCCGAATTGCGCCCAGATCAGCGGCTCGTTGTTTCGATCGGGCAAGAGCAGGCCGCTCAGCATCTGAAAAACGCCGAGCTTTAACAGGGAAACCAAGTTTTACAAAGCCATTTGCAGGGTAGCAGGCAATTCTCAAGTGGGAAAAACATCAGTTTAACTTTATAAAAGTTTCGGTAAGAGTCTAGAAACCCCCCCCCCCCCCCCCCCCCCAGCCGGCACCAACTTTTGTATCTCGGCCCCCCTTTGTGCTAGCGAGCTCTAAAGTATACCAAAATGTTCGCCGTAGGCTAATTAGTAAGACTACATTGCAGTTCAGTCAAAAAAAGTAGCGAAAATGCAAAATAAGATAGGTAGAAAAGTTGAAAAGTCGGCTGGGGGGGGGGTTTCCTAGACTTGAGCCAAAGTTTCAACCAGATTTTTTTTTTCGAAGAATCGAATATGTCCAGGAAGCTACGCAATTTGGTGTCGCGTCAGTTAAAACAAGCAAAAAAAAACAGAGCTTGTCCATCGTTGTTATTTTGAAAACCGGAAAACCAAGTTTTTTCACCAAACTTTTGATAGCGTATCAGTGAATTTTAATATATTTTACGCAGAAAAAAATAATAAAAAATTACAAAAAATCTCCTCGCAATTTGAAGTTTTTACAATTTTGAATAGTAAAAAATAGTTTCGACCCTCCCCCCGATATTGCCAAAGAAGCTAGAAATTCAATATTAAAAACAAATTATCAAATTCGCGACAACTGCTTTGAATAGCCATCCCAGGGAAATGTTACAGTAATCGATTACATGCCAAAACAATTGTTTGTCTTTCAGTAGTTCGAAACAACGAACGGTAGCGTTATATTCAAGTGTGTTCTGCCAGCTATTTATATCATAAAACAAAACTGGTAATGCAACCACGCTTCAAAAGCACCCTTGCAAAGCTCTTTAAAGGGATGCCGACGGCATAGTCAATCGGTTACGCGCGGGAAAGAAAATGTCTCTGTGCCTCTCCCCAGGGCGCGCTCTCTGCCCTGTTGGCTACTTGCCAATTTGTTGATGAGGGGGGATCGACACATGCCGTCGGCAGCCCTTTAAATACACCTTGGAAATGCCCCAAAACAATATGATGGTGAGGCAATAAAGCAAAATAAACAGCAGCCAAATAAATGAAGTGAGTAATAAGAGCAGAATGGTGGGGACAAGTTGCTATTGGTCAGTGTTTGAGCCGAGGAGCGCTTGTGCCTTTTCGAGGGCTTCCGGTTGACGCCTCTGGATGGCTTCTTTCACCCTCGAGTTGTTCAACATGGCGACCATCAGCTCGCGGTGGGTCATCTAAAAAGACTTAGCGTTAATTTTGAAGGCTAAAAACCTCGGGCATGGCCTCGCCGGACTGCGAGCTGTTCGAGGACATGCCGTAGTCAGACTCGGAGTCCTAAAAAGGGTTTAAAAACTATTAAAAAGAAAAATACTCGTCGCAAATCATGCTTGGCGCCGGGCACCACATCCGGGATCGGAAGCGCAGCGACGTTGGATTGGCTATAATAATTTTTGGCGCTGGTTTTTAGCGGGGGGGAGGGGTTAGCAGGGGAAATTTTTGAATGCTGAAATCCAGAGCTTTTATAGCATTTTCCGCTGATTTTCGATATAAAATGTGATAAAAAACAACATTTATTAAAAGCTACGAAAAAAGTAAAAAATGTTTTTCTATAGCTTTTTACCAAAACAAAATTACTGAAAATTAGGTCAAAAAGGCTACGGTATATCATCATGGAGGCAAAAAGGTGAGGTAGTCACCGCCCCCCCCCCCTCCTCCGCTAATGAACCAGAACCTAATTCCAAGCATCAAACTCCTACACAATCTCCGGCATTTTCTCGGCCAACTCCAGAGGTTTGTCATTTCCGCGCGGTTCCGCTTCTTGACTTTCGACAACCCAATCGATCGTGGTTTCAGAAGTTATCTCCGCCCTGATGGTCACTTCGATTTCGTCGTCCGGCGCCGGCTCGAGCTTCTAAACTAGTTTTTATCAATACAACAAATTTTCCGCACCTCCAAAACATCGTCCCTGTCCAAAAATTCGCCGAAGAACACATCGTCCAGCACGACAACGCGTTTGTCCTCGAATGGCCGATATTCCAGCACTCGCGCCTTCGGGCAAACGAACTACAAAAAGATCCAAATGACGCTTTACAGAGAATTCAAACCAACCCTAGCCCATTGGCCGTCAGTCAGCGGCTCGACGTCGTACGCCTCCTCGCAGGGCCAGAATCCATTCACCTGCCAGTCGTAGCGCATCCGCTTGTCGTACATCGGCTTTCCGAGCCTCCTGAAATAATCAGATTTCGAAAACAATCCTACCTTATATAATTTTGGCGTGTATCTTTGTGTGTGTGTGTGGATGTCGGTTTCGAGGCCCGATTTGAGGGCCTTCCCGTGCATAAAACGTCCTAATTCTCCGTCACCCGGGGGAATCGACCCTTCTGTTTCCGATGGCGTTCTCAGAATTTCGATAAAATACAAGTTTACAAAAGTAAAGCCGGTTTTATTCATTTTTGGGGGTCCCTGAGGGCTAATTTGCATAATGTGAAAAAAATACAAATTTGCTAATTCTTGCGAGTTGCTCGCGCGCGTGTGGTGGGGGGGGGGGGGGGGTCCGGAGGGCCCGAGCTACCGGAAAGTCAAATTTCTCATGCAAACGCACCATTCCAGCGCCCAAGGCCCGCGAAGCGGGTTTTGGGCGCTGGTTATTAGATAAGAAATTTTAAATGAAAAGTATTTTTTTTCGATTTCTGGACCAAATATGATCGATCTCCACTCAAAAGATCACAAAGTTTTAGGATAATTCTTTACAGATTATAAACGTAAAAACCTTATTGTTTCGATCACAAGCTACACTAAAAACCTATTTTTTTGCACAAAAGGCCTATTTTCTACCAAAATTTCAAAATTTTAACATTTTTTGACGTTTTCTAATTAGTTTTTAACTCGAAATACAGCAAACTTTTACGAAAAAAAAGCTAAATATCGCACTCGATCAAGCCCGTGATAAAGCTGCCCAGCTCGGCCGGCTTCTTTTTCGTGTCCAACAGCGCCAGTCGGCCATCCCTCAGCCAGACGATACGGTAGCCGCCCCAGGCTTTGATGCAAACGCCTAAATTAAAAGATTTTTGAATACATTGAAATTCTACCAGTAACCGGGACATCTGATGCCGGATACCGTCGCCTAGGAGCCTGCGTAAACGATTGATCAAAGTAACCGGAATTTTGGCCTAAAAATAACTTTAAGACTATAAAATTTCGAATTACCACTAAGCGACTCGTCCAGTGCAGGCGATTGTCGCTGCTTCGCGGTGCTGTATTTCTCCCACTGGGGGCGAGCTGAAATAAATTTTGATTTTTAAGCTTTTTAAAATAGTAGAATCACTAGTTTTTATCGTGCAAAATAATTACCTAAAGAAAATTTGAAAATAATGAATGGTAAATTTTTAGTAGCAAAGAAATAGAATACCATGTTGCGTAAAGGGGCCGGGTTGATATGAGCGGAAGGAGTCATCGCGCTAAAAATTGTTCAGTTAGCTAAAAAAATACAAAACATTCATGCGGAGAGTAATTGTGCTGTCCGCGATAACCAACACGAGAATGAATCTCCGCAACGTATTCGGGCTCACGATAGTTTGGATCTGAAAAAATTGCTAAAAATTCTAAGCGAAAATTCACCTCGCTCGGGAGGCGGTGTCCTGACAAGCACCGGACCTAAATCCAAAATTTCTAAAAAAGAAAGTTTTCGATACCATTTCCAAATTCGTCGTCGAAACTGTTCCTTGAAGTTGGACGATAATCGCGCGGCTCGTAATCTACAAGCATTAAATTAATATAAACATTTTTTTAATAAATAAAAAATCAGGATAATGCCGGAAAATAATAAACAATCTGATAATTCTGCTTATTTTCCAATCAGAAGATATGAAGCAAAAAATTACATGGCTGATTAGCCGGAAGCCGGTCGTCTTGTCGATGGTTGCGAGACAGAGGCCGGGGCTGGGGCTAAAAACACGTTTTATTTTCCAAAAGCGCAAGCGATTCACCTCCCGGACGACTTGTTGGCGGTCCACCAGGAATCGGACAACCCAACCGCCCAGTTCCGGAGCCGGCTGCGGGAAGGTAATGCGGCTTACACCCAAGACGAACTCCATATCCAGAAGCTCCTCATCGCTAACGCTCTAAAACTCGTAGCTCATTTTCAAAACAGGAAACTACTTTCAAGAATCGCAGCGATTCCCCATAACGATCGTAGATGACGGGCATGTAGCGATTCGTATAGGTGGCCACGGCTCGCCCGCCCCAGTCGACGAATTTGACGAACCTCGCCGGAGCTTGGATCTGAATGCCAAGTTTAAATTGGTAGGAGTTTAAATTATATAGCCGGAACGTCCGAATTTTTTTTGAGACTAACAAAAAAATAGGCACCCCTGTCTCTCAGCGATCATCCCCCATGCGATTGGCTAAAAAAGATGAAAATTTATAAAATCCAATTATATTCAACAGGATTCAAAATTGGCTTGTTTGCCATAGATATTTTATTTTACATTATTTTCGGCTGAAAATGAAACTCGGAGGATATTTTTCGATGCTCCAAAGAATGGTGCTGAAAAAACCCAAAAAAAACCCCTTCCCGGATTCCTTCCCGGATTATCGAAACGGAAAAAATAACGTGGCCATTCCACCAGCTTCTATCCAAAAATTTCCCGCCGCAGCGTGTCCTGATAGGGCACGGGAGGACTAAATAAAATTGAAAGTAGAGTTGAATTCTCTACCCGACTTCACAGAAGACAAAGTCGTCGGCCGTCATCGGCTCGGGCTTGCTCCTCTCGTTGGCGGCACTGAAAAATAGGAGATTACATGAAAATGGCTCCTCGAGGCGTAAGTTTGAAAACCAACCTCCAAACGCCGACGACGCCATCCTGGAACGCAATAAAAATCAACTCCTTGGACGAGTTGATCACGAAGCCATGCAGGTATTCCATCGGCGGGCCGGACGGGGATCGGGATCGGGGACGGGGACGGTTCTGAAAACAGCAAATGGGTTATTGATTTTGTCGAAATTTGATTTTTCCGAATTTCAATCTGTCAAAATTCATTGCCTTTCTCGTTGCGTTATCCATCTCAAACCTTTAACAAATTGAAATTTGGGCAAAATGAAATTTCAGCGCATTGAAATTTCGAAAAAATGAATTTCTGCATACTGATAGCAAACCAAGGTCATGCGCCAACAAATACCCGCACAAATTAGCCGGCATTACATACCTTCCGTCCGCCACGGGGCCTACGCCTTCTCGAAGAAATCTGCTCGATGAACGCCCGCATCTAAAAAGTGTTTTTAAGCCCGAGTTGGAGAATTGTACCTTCCAGCCGCTTTCTCCCTTCGGACTGCCCACCTCGATGACCACCTGATCGCCGGGGTTCACCTGTCTCTAAAAAATTGCAGATGTAAAGCGTCGTTAAGCCCTCACCTTAAAGCTGCTTTCGTGCAGCTGGCCAAGCACCGAATGCTCGAGGAGTACACCATCGACATTGACTTCTAGCACCTCAACGACCGCTTTATACTAAAAAAGCGATCTGAATTCGGCGTCAACCATACCGTCGAAAATTTATCGCCGTTTTTTCGATACAACGCGATGTCGTCAGGCAATGACAAGACCTCGTATTCAGCAACTTCCCAGCGGCTTCTTTCCCGATTTCGTTGGTGCTAAGGATGTTTTTCTGGTTTGCAAAACAGCACTTACAACACACGACAACGAATCAGCAGATCAAAATCGGGCGCCAGCCGGCCATGGCGAATCGCGTTCGGCGTCAGGATGAAGTTCCCAAGCTTGGTGGCGATGAACATCGTGTGATTGGTGCGCTGGACGGTCAGGCCCTCGATCCAGCCGCGATCCTCGCGCTCCCTTTGATTCCATGGCTAACTCTCTCTGACACTAAAAAGAACTCACTCTGAAGAAAAATCAACTCATTTCCCGAGTGCTTGGCGTGCATCCTCGCGACATCCATCGGCCAACGGGTACAGGCCACAGCTCTTCGTCCAAATCAGCGGTTCGCCATTTTGGTTGGGCAGCAGCAGCCCAGCCAGCCACCATTGTTGCGGCGAGGCTTCGCTGCTAAAATTAAAACTTCAAAGATTAGTCGCATCAATAAAACACGAAATTCGCCAAAATTCGAAATCCTGATTACAAGTGAAAATTTGCGTTCAGGCAGCTAAAACGAAACAAGCACATGTTTTAAAGAGTAAGTCCTTTCAAAAAATCGAATAATATTTTTGTCGAACAGGCTTATCAGTGTTTATCGTAAAATATCATCGAAAAAGAAACTCAAACCGCAAAGCAAAATTTAGCTCCAAATTTCAATCGAAAATCGGCCATGAATTTTCCAGCCAAATGTTCAACAGGTTTTGAGGTGTTTTTTGTAAATTCTTACCCTAGCCAATAATTCAAAAGCATTGACAAACGGTGTAAAAGTCTGTAAAAACGGCAAACATCTTATTTTATAATAACCCGCATGAGAATAGAAAAAAATTTTTGCTACCGCCCCACACTAAAATAACGGCAATGAGTAAATGTTGCACGGTTCGCAAGCTTTTGTTTGCATGGACCTTCGCTTACGGTATCTAAAGTTTATTTCTATTTCGATAGAATCGAAAGATCGTAAGGGTAAATATGTGTTTATATTTTCGGGTTGTAAGATGGTTATAAAACTGTTGTTGTTTCCAACAATTTTGACTCACGGAATAAAGCTGGAACTTTGAAAAATCGAAAATTTTTTTGAATCGGGTGGAAATCCGTTGTGATACGACGCGACAGTAGTCTAGGATATTGGTTGCAGGGCTAAAGCGTGCCCCGCTCGAGGTGACGGCAGAATTTTTGGATGATTTTTCGTCATTCTTTCGGATTTTGCGCATTTTTGTGCTGCTGCTTCTGTTATGCGGATTTCATTTCTCTGCTGTCGCTTATCGATAAAGCTTGTGGCAGACGTTCCGTATTCTATCTTTTTAGTTTCTCCTCTTTATTATGCATTCAGCTGTCAGGTTAGGCCATTTCCACGCGCGCTTTCACCATTCCTGTGGTCCTGAGTTGAGCTTTCGCGTTTCCCATGTTTACTATAGGCGCGGATTTATCGCTTTAAAAATTTACATTTGATTTGGCGCTTAGACTTGGGCTTTTTCCACTCGTGCTTGGCAATTCCTTTGCTCCTTTTGCTCGCTGCCTTTGTTTCCGATGCCTGTTATAGGCTTCTCATTTACTTTTCCTTCCCGCCGCTATTTCTATCCTCATTTATACCGCGCAAGCTTTAATAAAACGATTTGGAATCCGCTCTCGAATCCCCGCTGTCCCATCCCCTTTCTTCTCCATACATTAACTCGTGTCTGGTTTTCTTCAACTTTCATACATTGTCGCTTTCCACAATTATATTCTTTTTTTCAGAACAAACTTTCGAATGGCGGACGCTGAGGGATTCGTGCAGCTGTGTGAGGGGCTTCAAAAGAAGATCATCCAAGAAGGCCAAGACACCGCCAGCCCGCTCATCGGCTCAACCGTCCACGTGCACTACACGGGCCGCCTCGAGAACGGCGACGTCTTCGACTCGAGCCGCACGAGGGACCCGTTTCGATTCAACCTCGGCCGCGAGCACGTCGTCAAGGGATGGGATATCGGCGTAGCAACGATGAAGAAAGGCGAACGCTGCGAGCTGCTGATCGCGCCCAAGCTGGGCTATGGCCCGAGCGGCCACCCGCCAATAATCCCCCCGGGCGCCATCCTCACCTTCGAGGTCGAGCTGATCCGATGGGAGTCGGAGGAGTTTGGACCGCCCATGGACATGGTAAAGGATGAGCTCTCGGTCGCGGCGATGCAGGAGCGAGTTGACGAAGCAGAATGCGCTGGGTTGCTGCTACCTTGGCTCAGTAAGTAAATTTCCGCTTCCTCCTCTATTCGTATTTTACAGGGCTCCCCTACAACGTACGCGGCAGCCATGCCATGCTGTCTTCCCCGCCAAAAATCCCGGATGACGCCACGCTGAAGAACATCAAGGCGGCCGAGGAGGCGAAAGAGCGCGGCAACGACTTCCTGAAGCAAGGCAAGCTGAAGTTGGCCCTGAAGGAGTACCAGCGCATCGAAGTGCTGCTCGAGCACCGGCACGCGAAGGAGGCGCCCAGCGAGAAGCGAGATGCCCTGATGTTGGCCGCCTTCCTCAACATGGCCACAATTCACCAGATGCTCAACGAGGAGGTCGAGACGGTGGCCGCTTGCGACAAGGCGCTCAAGATGGACCCGAAGAACGTGAAGGCGCTCTACCGCAAGGGCCACGCGAAGAACTCTCTGGCCCTCTACGATGAGGCCGAGGCCATCTTCACGGATATCACGCTCATCCAGCCAAATAACAAGGACGCCCAGCTGCAGATTCGCCTCTGCAAGCAAAGGAGCAAGGAATTCGAGCAGAGCGGGCGACGCCGGTACAAGCGCCTCTTCGCCAAGAAGTCTGCAGCGGAACCCGCCGCGCACGAGAGCACCTCGAAGGAAATCGACGCCGACGACCCGCAGCCATGCACGTCCGCCGAGCACGAAGCCTAACCGCCATTTCCGATACTCTCCTTTCTATGAATTCCTTTTCTGTGCCTTACTATTCCGTTTTCTGTATTTTTTGTGTCGCCGGGTCCCTATATTTGGGCTGTGAACCCCGGTCGTGTTGTTTACTGTCTTGCTGTGTGTGGTGCGATTTCCTTGATAAATTTATTCTAATCGTAAGCACAACCAAGGAACCACGTTGAGATCTAGGGTTAGAGATGCATGAAATTAGCGAACTAGTTTGAACTAGAATACATACAAGCGGAAACTTTAACAAGTGAGGTGAAAGCACATATGAAACTCGTAGAAAGTTATTAATAGAGATTTCGTTTGAAGAAATTGTTGGGCTTGCTGATGGGCGCCGGGAGTCGCTGCTCAATGTGGGGCGAGGCTTTGGATGACGATTTCGCGGTACGAAGCCTAAAAGTAAAAAGTTTACACAAGTTTAAAAAAAGGCAACCAACCTGCCGTTCAGTGACGCAATTTGACGCGTTAGAAGACATGCCCTCGTCGGTTTCGGAAGCCGATGTCTGAAAAATACATGAATTCCTTGTAAATTTTCTTCTTCCTTACCGCGCGGTTATTCGGGTTATTGGCGCCGTTTTCTGTAACTTCCGGCCCTTTGCAATGGATGGCCCATTCGATCGTCGTTTCAGAGCTTGTGCCCGGCTTGATTGTCACTTTGATCTCTTCGCCCGGGCCGGCGTCCACCTCCTAAAAACCATTCGATAAAAAGAATAGACGCGCACCTTCAAGACGTCCTCCTTGTCAAAGAGCGCGCCGAAAAAGTCATCCTCCAGCACCACAACGCGTTTTCCGTTGAATGGACGATATCCGACGATCCGTGCCCGGGTGCAAGTGAACTAAAAAAGCATTTTTTTTAACGAAAATCAACTCACCATCGATTTCTGGCCATCAATACGGGGATCAACATCACGGACTTCATCGGCAGGCAAAAAGCCGTTGATCTGCCACTCGTACGTCCTCTGCCGGCCGTAGATCGGGTTTTGGAGTTTTCTAAAGTGAAAAGTTGCCATAAAGTACAGCGAATACTCGATGATGCCGCTGACGAAGCTGCCCAGCGCCGCCGATTTCTGTTTCGTGTCCAAAAGTGCGAGACGGCCATCCTTCAGCCAGACGATGTGGTAGCAGCCCCAGGTTTCGATGCAAACGCCTAAATTTTCAGATTTACTTGGTGCGCATTAAATTTGTACCTAAAACCGGTGCTTTGACAGGAGCGTAGACCTTGACGGGAACTTCTTGAAGCGGCAGATTTTCGTTACGCGACGATCGGCCTAAAGTATCAAAATTCAGCGTTAAAATGATCATATACCGCTGCCCCGGAGATCCGCAGAAGATGGCTGCCGTTTTTGCGTGCTGTACTTGTCCCAGGGTGGTAGTTCTGAAAGATTCAGTTGGTACACGCGCGGAAAACAATACTTTTCTGCGAAGGAAGAGCATTTGGAGCGCGGTGGACGGGGTGAGTGCTTGACCCGGGATCGTTTTCGCGGCCGCGGTAAGCGGGGTCTAAAATAAGGTTTTAAAATAGCTTAAAATCATTACCTAGTTCCGGTGGCGGCGTCAGGATCAATATCGGGCCTAAACCCAACTTCAATGAGTTAAATTCTATTACCCAGTGGAGCCCGTTCGGCCATGAAACCGCCCGACGGCGGCCTTGCGTATTCCTGTCGAATTGGGACTAAAATGCGAAAATTAAAAGGAAATTAAAAGCGAAACACCATGAGTGACTCGATTCCGTCGATCCGGGTGAGAATTGGTGGACCTGCGCTGTGCAATAATCTAAAAAAATGCAACGTCAAACGTCCAGAAAATCACCTCTTGAGCAGAAATCGGCGGCAGCGAGCCAATCACCGTTCTCACCTAAATACTATTTTACAAAAAAAGAATCGTTAACCATCCACGTGGCTTTGTTCCTCTCCTTAGTCACGACGACGGTGTAGCGCTCGCTCAGCCGGGCTTCCTAAAAAGAACGTAAAAATGTAAAAAAGGAGACCAACCCGTTGCGGATCCTGAGCGTAGAGTTCGCCGAGCATAGGGTTCTCCAGCACCGTGAAGCCCTCAGCAAATCTCCTCACCACGGCGTCAACTTTGTACTGCAAAATGGTAGAAGTGTAGCGAAGGTTTCTGGACTGTTAGCCGGGGGGGGGGAGCGGGCTAACATTATTTCCGCCGTTTTTCAAAATCCCAGAAAAATGGCGTAAGTTTCAACGAATTTTTCAACTTTAAAAACTGTTGGGCTTTTCAGTAAGCACCTTTTAAGTAGACAGAGACCATCAAAAATTCTATTGATAAAATTGTCGAAAACGATGTGCTTGTTAAAAAATGTATCGATACGATGAGAAACCCATGAATTTCATGCATCTAGAATGTTTATGTCGTTTTATTACTCAGGTTTTGCTGGGTACCCGCGAAAATCCAGCTCCCCCTTAGAACAGTCCAGAACGGGATAATGAAAATACCATCGCAAATTTCGCATCGTGCACCCGATGCAAGGCGAGCCCTTTTGGCAGCGAGAAGACCTCGTATTCCACCACCTCGCCAATCGCGCCCTTGTCCAGCCCGTGGGTTCTAAGCCAAAAATGAATCCACTAAAGCGAAAAGAATTACCTGACGCGACACTCGATCAACATGCCAAAATCGGGGGCCTGGCGGCCGTGGCGCTGCGCGTTGGCGGTGAGGATGAAGTCGCCGAATCTTGTCGCCACAAACATTGTGTAATCGGTGCGGTGGCTGACGACGCCCTCTGTCCAGCCGAGCTCTTCGCGCCGGGGTTGATTCCAAGGCTAAAGGAACTTTTTTCCTATTATAACAAAAATTTGTCCTACCACCAACGTCAGCTGTTCAGCGACCATACTTTGGTCGTGTAGGTGGCGGAGGGCATTTCGCTCGAGCACAACGAACAGCTCCAGATCGGCGTCCCTAAAAGAGTATTTTGGGAATATCAGATTTTTCCTCATGTTTTCTATTTAAAAAGAGGACGTGTTTCTCAACCGTGTTTTACTCTTCCTAAATGCAAAAGCTTAAGAAGTCTTTAATCATTATCGTTTGTTCATCAATTCTATCAAAAAAGTAGAAAGTAGGTTTTAAAACTTTCTAAAAAAGGATTTGACTTGAAAACGCGCGAAATATTTTACCAAAAATACTATAAAAAGGTTTTCGAAACTCAAGCTTTAAATCAATCACCTATTTAGTAAGCTTAAATAAACCATTTGTAAAAAAATGACGTTTCGAGCGGAAATCGAGAAAATTTCTAGCTTGCATAAAAACTGATGCAGCTCTCACATTTAGGAAGAGTAAATCACAAATGCGACAGCCTTTGCTAGGTATTTCTAAAGTTCCAGGAAAAAATCTTCCCTAGGAAGTCCAAACAACCAAGGAATTCACAAACCATCGCAACGCAGCCTTGAATCCGTGATTTGCGCGAAACTCCCAGTCCCGCCGCAGCTCGTCGAGCATCTGGGGGTTGATCGGCGTGCGCCCAACGACGGTAGACCAAATTGAGGCCTCCTCCCAGCCGATCGACCATTGCTGCTGCCGGGTGGGGACGAAGACGGTCGTTATAACCTGAATAACATGAATCGTCGCTTTTCAAAAGGGAAACCAACGTCTATTTGGCTGCCGAATGCGTGGAGGGCCCAGAAGCCGTTGCCTGGGCATTTATACGGTTGGTACTTCGTGACGACGCCTTTCCTGAAACGGGTTTTTAGTGTGGTAGTTTCTATAAGAAAAATAGTTGATCGAAATAAAAATAACCTTTTATTTTTGAGTAAAAAACAGCAAAACAAGAGCTTATGGCGTGTCAGAAAACACGTAAAAGCTTGTTCAATTATTTAGAAACATTTAAAGAACCAACTCTGAAGAAAAATCAATCCATTTCCCAAGTGCTTGACGCGCATCCTCGCGACATCCATCGGCCAGCGGGTACAGGCCGCCGCTTTTCGTCCAAACGATCGGGTCACCGTCGCGGCTGGGCAGCAGCAGCCCGGCCACCATCTTCGACGCGCCGGGGCTTGCGCTGAAAAAAGGAAAAGTTTTAAAAGATAAAACTAGCAAGAAAAACGAATCTAACGCTATCTAATTACACAAGGAAAAGCTACGAAAATTTTGGTTTTTAAAAAGCGCGGAACTCTCCGAAATTTCAAAAACTATTTGAAAGCTTAAAAAACCGTAAAGTGAAGTTTCAAAAGAGCAAACTATCGATAAACAACCTATTAAATCACCGTAAAGGCTGTGAAAAGCCGGGAGGAAACCCCCGAAATTTTAAAAAACAATTTGAAGACTACAAAAATGATTTTCTTTCTCTTTTCCGACCATTTCCGCCCATCCCTGCGCATTCTAATTTTTATCCTATTCCAAATTCTGCTTTTGCAAGCCCATCCGGATTTGGTTCGGCTACAATTGGCAGGCGATGAAGCCCTTGACGGGCTACTGTATGCAAATGAGCATCGAGGGGATTAGGTTTTCCTTTTTTGGGGATTTCGTCACGTAAGTTCAGTCTGATGATGGGGGTTTTGGCATTTTTCTGATTGCGTCAAGGGATCAGAATAACAAGGTAAAAATAGGGTAAAGTCTAGGGATTTGTTGACACTTTTGGGTGCAAAGAAGGGTGGTGATTTCTGAATTTTGGGTAGACGTTTTTGAAGTTAAAATATCCCGTCATACTCAAGAATCACAGCTTATTTCATAGTTATCGAAGACTTTATGAGGATTTGGCAGCAGCTGGAATAAGCTGCGCCGGACGGCCTTTTTCATTTTTCTGGAAACTGGTTAAATTTGCTTTCCTTGGCATTTACTGGAAGCTATAAGGGGCCTGAATTATGTTTTTTTTTTCAAATGTTTTGTGCTTATTCGAGCATGCCTAGCTATTTAACGTCGAAAATTAATCGCTAAACGAATGCTGAAGCATCCGTGCAAAGCTTTCTCACCGAAATCTCGTGGTTCTCTTTTGGGCGCAGTTTTTAACGTATTTTTTTTTGTTGCTTTTTCCAGTTTAATTTTCTGTATCCAATACTTCTAATGATAAACAATTTCAAGAAGGGAAAATGTAGGGCGTTTACACCGTATCTGCGTGGTTAGGAGGCTGCCGTGCTCCAGGTTTCGACAACGAGACGCTCCAAAAAGACGTCTTAGTCATGTGTTTTAATGCTCTTTTTTTACACTTTTTGCACTTTTACCCTCTTTCTGATTTCGGAAGCACCGGGAAAACACCCACCCCTATACCCTGGGAATCGTTTTTCGAGATAGCGTCCATTATATAATACCAGTGGAAAAAGACCGCTTCGCGGCCCTTTTCCACTGGACCTCGTCTAGGAATCATGAATTCCCTTTCCTATTATTGAAGCCTGCGGCGCAAGAGCCTGACTCAAGGAACCATTCATTTGCCTGCGGCGCTAGCTACTGATTTTTCGCTCGTATTTAGCCTGCGGCGCGAAAGCGTAACCTTTTCTTTGGCCTGCGGCGCCAGAGCCAGCGTTGCGTTAGAATCTCTGAGCCTGCGGCGCTAGTTACTGGTTTTTCTCCAGGATTTGGCCTGCGGCGCGAGAGCGAGGGCCAGGCCTAAGCCTCGCAGGGCCTAGCAAAATGTTTTGTCGTTGAGCTCTCAAAAGACAAAAAGTCAAACTCGGCGCAGATTCGAACCCCGGACCACGCGCTTGTTAGACCGGGCGCCAATCCACTACACCACGGGGGCGATGGGGATGGGCGGCGGGAAAGCCCTCTTCTGTCCTGGGGGCCGGCATCCCGTGAGGGGGGACTTCTGGTAACTTTACAAAATTCTCTTTTTGAATCTAAATGCGCCGAAAATTTGTAAAAATAATAAGATGCGCGTGATCCCCACTATCGAATACATCGGTGGACAAAATTACAGCCCAAAATCCCATCTGGGATTCGAGTTATGGCCCGGACACCACGGGACTGTGGCCATTTTATTAAGGACCTTCTAGTAAATTGCTCATAAAAACTTTATTTTAAGGAATTTGGCAAAATCCAGAAAATAGTATCGGGAGAATTGTTTCTTCCATTCACCCTGAAAAAAATCAGCGCCCAACTCCTCTTAGCGGCCGAGAAAACCTCTGGACATACCTTTTTTTTCAGCGAAATGTTAAGGATTTTTCACTATTTTGGTTATAAAATCGTCAAATGAAGGAATTTCGCAAAACAAAAAAATGCATCACTGAAAAATGTGTTTCTCCACCTCCATGCCAAAAATCAGCTCGAAATTCGGCCTGACGGCCGAGAAATCGGCTGTACAGAAAACAGACATACTTTTCTCGCTTATAGGATAGGATTTTGACTTTCTTATAAAAATCAAGAGTATCCTTTCCAGGACAGCTCTGTCCAAATATGTATTTTCAGCCAGCCCCTCGGCTGTCGCCACTCTGGCTGATTTTCGTACCGCCGTATCACCAACTTTTCCCCCGGGTTGGCCGGCCAATTTTTGTGGTGCAGCGCCGCTACGGAGAGATCAGGGAATAATACAGTCGTCGTTGCACCGAAACAGGACCGAAATCGATCCCGATAGGCACCGGGTGTGGGCGGTGAGGGCGGAAACAAGAGTCTTGGCGGTCTTTTTTCTCGGGCCGGCACTCTTTATGGTCGTTATCTCCCGGGGGGTTGTCTCGTGCTGTGAAAAGCCGACTTTTATCCTTTCTGCTGATGATGGAGGTGTCGAGAAAAAACGAGTTGCGGGACACGCACACCCACACCGCACCCATATCATTTTGCGCGCGCGGTTTAGAAAGTCGGATGATCGGCTGGTGGGGCGCGTGGGATTGTCTCGAGCCGGAAAGGTTCGTCTGCTCTGCGGACGGTCGATCTGGTGACAGGAGGTGTAGAATGGAATTTGAGTCATCGATGAGGGTGGAATTTGGGGTTTAGAACGTTTAACGTTACGTTTTTTTTATTTGGTCGGACCGAATTTTCTTATAACTCCAGGAACGCCGAGTAATGGAAACGTAAGTGTTTCAAGAGTGACTTTAGGAAAATTTCACTACGTTCCAAGCGCAAAAACTATCTGAAAATTGAACTTTTCTAAAAAATCTGAAATGTTGGTCTGAAATCAGCGCTTTTTGGTTGAAAAATCGATATTTTTGTATTCTCTAACAAAAATTTCTACAGTCTCTAGTAACTTTTTACGTTTAAGAATAAAAAAAATGCGTTTAGAAAACCTCGCCTATTGAAAATCATACACTTTCCTTCATAAAAATCATAAAATCGGTGAAAAAACTAGCCTAACGAAAAAAGTGGCTTAGCGGCTTGTCCAAGGTCGAAAATCGAAATATTGTTGTTTATTTTGTAGTATCTAAAATCAACGTAAGTTAATTGAACAAAGATTTAACGAAAAAAAACAGATATCTTTCGGAAATAGATGAAATTTGGGGTCTAACGTTGTCCAAACGCGGCTACGTCTCGCTCCACTGTACTCTGTTGTTTGCCCGCGCCTTACAGTTTTGTATTATTAGGTTTGTATACTATGAGAAAACCACCTTTCAAATAGCAAGTAATTAATTTTTCTTTTTCTATCAACTTTTGCGGGATTTAGCTAGATTTCAATGCTCAAAATTCCTATCGTCGACCTTTGAGCTGTCAGCATCCATTAAATTCCATAGATACCTTTCGCGAATTCTCGCCGACCCCTTCTCCCGCTAAACAAATTCGCTTAATAAGTTGAAATGCGTGCGGGATCGGTGCTTTCATAGTCCGGCCGTTTGTTCAGCCGGCCAAATCATCAAAATGCAGATCTGGGCAAACGAGGTCAGCCATATTGCCCGGCCACGTCGCCCAACACACACAGCTACTCGCTCCGCCAATTTCTGTTCGTTCAGCCGGATGTGGGTAGTAGTTTACGGTCGGCGGGGTACAATGTCCATTCCGGGAGGGAGAGTTCGAATTCGGTGCAAGTGGGCTATTTTAGCGGGAATGGCTTCTTAAATGGCTTCTCGATGGGCTGCTTAGCAGAGTTTCTTGAGGAATCCGAAGGAAAACGCTCCGTCCTAGAGGAGGAGCTGGGGCGTACTAGCAGCGATCTTTTAGGAAGTATCAAAGCATAGACTTCCGGTTCGATCCCAAACAGTGGGGGCGTACTAGCAAAGACCCTTTAGGAATAAAATGAAGCGCATACTTTGAGTTTCCAGCGAGAAAAGCTAAGACCTATGGAGCAGAGCTCTTTTAGGACGGAGGGGAATCATAAACTGTTTTACCGTATCAGCGGCCTGGACATGCTAGCAAAGATTATTTGGGAAGCTTCTAGGCCGGATTTTGAATCGAAGCCGTGCGAAAAAGGCTTGGCCGGGCCGGGGGCAAAGCTTGGCAAACAGAGTAAATTTGAGAAATGGCAAGTTCAGATCTGAAAACTGCTAATTTTGCGTGGATGCGAGGGTTTCTTGCCTTTTTTGCAATCATGCAGTCTAGCAGAGATTCTTTGGGGAAATTTTCAGCCGGCGAGACTACAAGAGTTGAGAAACGTCGATTCTTCCTCAGTACAGTAGAATTTTCGGTGCTCCTACCTCTCTGAAATATCTGAATCAAGGAGCTGTGACTCACCAGAATCGACCCCACTGGGTCTCGACAGCTACACGGTGCTCCAAAACACGTACAGTCACTTTGTGATAGATTTGTGATGATCTTTGAAACTAAGCAAAAATAAAAAAATCTGCGTGTCTTGGTATCATGCGCAGCTGTCAACACTCAGTCGTTGGAAGGAGTCGATTTTCGCGCTGCCTAGTCCCTTTAATTTGAGACCTGAGTATTTCCACGGCCCCTAGATTGATTTCGTCATTCGTATTTCCAAGGAATCCCCACATTCCCTGCCCCCCCGCACTTGCGCTCCTCTTTCTGGAAATTGTCATTTCAAAATCGTAAAATGCGACTTCCCGGTGCTGACCAAAATCTTCTCTCTCTATCGCTCGCTCGCTCTCTCTCTCTCTCTCTCTCCCCTATTGTTCATTTTCGGCAAGGTTTTGAGGTTTCCTCCCTTTCCGCGGCGATCGTGTTGT